GCATTAAAAGTTAATACAGTCCATGTGATACATGCTGGCTTTTGCTAGCTCTTCCCTATATGATTCCAAGTGAACCAATGACCTTGAGAAGCCTGGGGCTTTTACTGACGCCCTTTTTCTGAGATTTTTCACAAAATTGTAAGCCTAGGGCTACATTCTTTCTTACATAAAAATTTTGGCCATTATTACTTTGGAACTACTTGCCGACTGTTGACATATTCCCAGTGGTTGCAAAGAATTTCAGAGGAAGCTGGAGCTGCACCTCAGTGTTTGTCAACACTGGCCACTCTTGACAAACCCAGGCCCTAAGTAATGCCCGTCTTGTTTATATTGTTTTAGAGGTAAAGCGCTTTTGGAAGAAATTAAACTTGAAAGAAACTTAAAAGAGCTCCACGCCAGGAAAAAAGTAAATTCTGTCCCCTTGTCTCTCTCTCAGGGATTGAAGGCCAGTTTGACAGCTTTGTTTATGTACATAAAATGTATCACAGCCATTCAGATTTGAAGCCATTTATAATATATGGAACTTTTCCCCAAAATTACAACTGTCATAGGATAACTTTTGTTCTGTTTTGTTTGTGAGTGAGAGGCAGGGAGGTGGTCAAACTAGGGATTTTCTGTTGTTTTCTGTCTCTAAATGTATATGCTGAGGGTGGAATAAATATTGTGAATTTAGTGAGTTGACTCTTTTTCTCAGCAGCACTCAATCATGGAGATAGGAAAGTGGCTACAGATTGTTGACGAAAGATTGGCTTACATTCATCATATGTCAATGGTACATTACTCTCTGTAGCATAATAAATGCAAACGGCTGGCATGAGTATTTTCTGTACATTTTGCTGTGGAATGGGAATGAAGTGTGAAGGAGGTTTAGGCCTGAGGAGAGAAGGAAGAGGCAATAAAATATTCACTCATGTTTCCAGGGGCAGGAATGTTTCCAAGGATGGAAAACCACACAGTAGAAACCAGAGTACTAAGAGATAATCTTTTAAGAGCATAACTAAACTTCACATAAATTCATAAAAACATTCAGTATTCTTAGAGTAAGGTGGAGAAAGTAAAATTTTAATTTTAAATATTGAAATATCTTATTTTTATTGAAAATATGGTGTTTAGCAGTGTCCTTATGACAATTGTTGCCTTGTTAAGTACTTAAGAATATCCATATGAAAGTCACAAGAACCTTTGTTCAAAACTTTACTATTTTAAAAAAGGGGCAATTTTTTCTCTTTTGCATTATTCACATATAAAATATCCATTTCACATGCATGTCCATTACAGCTTCGTTTTACTTAGCAAAGGTTGGATTATCCTCTGGTCACTTTCTCTTCCTTAGGATGATACCAGAGAAATGTGAGTAGGACAGGAATCTAAAAACCAGACATTAGGATGAATATATGACAGTTTTCTGTATTTTTCAAGAGGTGCTAAGATCAGAGTATTTGAAGTCAGAACTCTTTTAGAAAATACAGGACACACAGTCACCTTGGATATGAGCTTTAGGCTCTTTCTATAGACTCCCATCTCCTCTCTCTGTATTTGGCCATTTCCTAAATTATGGTGCCATCTGCCCATTCAACAGTAGCTTATTGAGTATATTCCACTTATTTGGCACTGTGGTGGTTACAAAACCAAGTTAAACATGACCCCTGTGTTCAGGGAACCTGAGGGATGGTTTTAAAGTAATGAATATTATTTTAAGAGTAAATGTCTCAAAACCTTCATGCCTAATTTGGACTTCTTCAAAGCAATTAATTTTAGGAGAGGGAAGCTCTAGACTTATTTCCTGTTTTTCTATTATACCATCTTCTGGCCCTCTTGATAGCTAACCTTTTCTTCATTTTTATGTTTTTTAATGTGGTTAATACTTTGACCTTTCTCTGTCAAGTATTTACAGAATGGATTAAATGAAATCTTAATCCCTTGTGGTATTACAGAGACCTGTTTGAATTGTAAACTGTTAACAGTAATTGAAAAACAGATATGTATTTCAGGAATTGAAATGAGTAAATTAAGTTCAACCTGAAATAAAAGCCCACATCTTGTATGCATCTTTTAAACAAGAGCCAAAAAGAGAATGAAAAGTGCAATGCCCCTAGCCACTTGAGCAATCTAAACCGGAATTTTGTCATGTTTGTTTTTCTCTGTCCTTATTTTAAACTTGACTATTTGAAGAACCACTTTCCAAAAAAGCACTGATTAGACCCTGAAGGTAGATGTGTTACATTTTGGTGAGTGTCTGTGCATGCATGCTCATGCATCTTCGTGTTGACTGATAATTTATATTTTTGGTCACTAGATGGTGCCCTTTCACTTTGAATGAAAGTGTATTTTCTATTGAGGAGTTTGCTTTTTTATTTTCCTTGTTGCAAAGATGGTGGAAAATCATCTTCTTTCTTGATTTAAGAAAATCACATTCTCTTTTAAATCGGATCTGAGTCTCCCTGTTCCTCTAATTATGCATTGGAATTTTAATGTGATTATTCAACCTGTAAACTAATAAATTTGTAGGTTCTCATACCACTCAATACTTACTGTTAATTTATTTTGTGGAGAAAATACAAATTTATCCTATAGAAACATTTCGTATCATACGTATTGGACCAATAAATAAATGACTACAATTAAAATATCTATGTGGTTAAATCTGCTGTTTTCTGTACTTGAATTAACAATCACTTGGACACTAGTACAGTGCCGCTTACTGAGTTCTCAAGGCCCAGAAACCTGTATTTTAACTGGCATGTTTTGAGAAACATTGGGTTCTAATCACCCACAGTAGTAGCAAACATTTTTAATAGAGGTTAACTTCACTGTCAACCAACAGTAACTAAAACCCCAAAGTTAAGGATAGTTGAGACTGAAATTTTGAAGGTAGATGGATCTTTGTGTAATATTGCCTAGCTGAATTATTTTGGATGAAATAAGAATTATTGAATAGAAGATCTGTTTACATAAGTGTGGTAAACATTGGCTAGGGTATAACAGAGAAAGGGCAGTCCTGGTTCTTGTTAGGATGCGTTAGAGAGCAAGCGATGGGAATAAGATGCTGTTGGGCTCTCTCCCAACTTGTGTTGGTCAGATACCCCTTGTGCCCCGCTGTTAGGCCCCTCATTTCATAATAACTGATGCTTAACTTTTTGGAAAGTTTTAACCACTCTTAAGACCTTTGACCTTCACAGTGTCCCTGTGACAGTTTAAGTGCCAAGGTAGGGATCACAAAATAGGAAAAGGAAGAGTGTCTCAGACCAAGAGCAACCACCAGGAGAGGATAGGGGCTGGAGGTAGTGACACAGACTCAAATTAAGCACAGCTGCTGGACATCTCCCCAGGAGGCCAGAGGCATTCCTGAACTCTGAAGCTTGGTGCACTGTTATTAACTATGATTTTACCATCCTGGTCCTAACAGTGGGTATCTTTAAGAAAAGTAGTTCTCTCCCTTCTCTCCTTCCTCCTTCCTTTTTGGTGAGGGGAGTGGCAATTGCCCAATTGCAACATAAGAATATGATATGCTCTCTGTGGCATTGATTTTCACCCGGGCTGTGGTATGGGGGTGGGGAGATCACAGTGTCAGGGGAGTATGTGTGGTTTAGATAAAATCCCCACTGAGTGATTCTCATTCCTTATCCTAGAGAATAGATGCTTTAGGAGTTAAAGGATTCAGGCAGAACTGGTGGTAAATTGTGAAAGGTGCTCGGTAAACATTTGCTGACTCTGTTACTGACTTGATGCGTAGTACAGAATATAAAAGACTTAGCCAAGAAGTCAGTACATTGTAGGCACTCAGTAAGGTTGAGAGATGATCAGTAGTTGTGCTAATTATAATTAATTATCTCTATGTTATTCAGTTTTATCATAAAGTTAATGGGCATAGACCTTTTGACTTATCCCAGAATGATCTTGGTCTATGTCAGGCTGACCTATAAAATAAGAGAATACCTGGATTGCTGGGGCAACTTGAAAACCTGATTAAAGAGTCAATTAAGGGGGCTAGTCCCCACCCTGAGGCTGTGGCTTTGATATCTCCTTTTACCTGGAAGGTTCCAGCTCAGCCAAGTGTCTTCCCTCCTTTAAGCCTTTACTCGGATCTTCTTTTCTCTCTGAGTCTAATATTCCTCAAGACTCTCTCATAGCTGGTACTTCCTCATCTTTTTGTATTGCTCCCCTTTTTCTTTTTTCATAACATATATGTTCTAATAGATAATTTATTTGATTAAATTATATTTTGTCTCTCAAAGAAGAACCAGGTTCTTTGCGGCAGGGCTCTTTCTTCATTTATCTATTTTTGTCCCTGGAACAGTGCCTGGTTCATAGTAGCAGTACAGAAAATATTTGGTGAATAAATGAATGCTTTCCTATAGAAAGTTTGGTGACGGTAATAAACAATATTAGTCACTCAATACTAATTTTGGATAAATATTGAATTAAATATTTCTAAATGAAAGTTAAGAATTTTTTTCTACTAGCCCTCACTGTGGTGATATCTTTTAAATTAACTTATTGCATAAAGTATAGATCCAGCGTTGGAAGACATTGGATTGTAATGACCACGCTTCTGAGTGATTTTCTGGGGCAAGTTAGTAAACCACCCCGGGCTTTAGTTTCCTCTGTAAACAACCTCATGAATCTTTGCTGTGGATTAAGTGAATTGATGCGCTTCAAGCCTTAGAACAGGGCCGAGACTGTAGCAGGAGCTCAATTACTAAATCCTATTTATACACTACTCAGTTAAAAAAATTATATTTTTATTTTGCAAGTATATGATATACTTATTTTTTAAAGAAGAAATGTAAATTTAAGTGCTTTGGCCAATTTTAAGGAAGAAAGTTACAGATAAATAAAAACGTGAGCATTTTCCATAGTCCTTTTGTTATTACAGTAACACACCCGGAATGTTATAATAATGATAAACTCCAAATATTGAGTTCTAAAGTCATTTTTACAACAATTGAAAACAGAGTTTGGGAGTGTCACACAAGCCGTTTATTTCTTATTTCTTATAGATCCCCATATTAAGGTTTCTGGAAAGAAAGAAGATGTTAAAGAAGCCAAGGAAATGATCATGTCTGTCTTAGACACAAAAGTAAGTGAATGTTAAGGACACTCAGATGTCAGAACCTTGTCTCTGCAAGGGCTACTTCATGCTGTTATGAAAGAACCATTTGGAGAAGGAAACCAGGATAAAGTAATGGTGGGTTTTTAAATAAACACGTGATTCTACAGTGGATGTAAAGTTCTGTTTAACATTTGGATAGGTTCACTCATGCCAGGTAATTGAACTATACACACACACACACACACACACACAACTATATATACATATATCTACATACATATATATGTATTATGTATGCATGCATGCATATATATACATATGTACATATATACCATCTTTAGAAATAAAAATTGGCCCTGATTAATATAGAGTAAGTAACAAGGATTGTAGGAATGAGATTACTTGCTTCTAAGATGTCAGTAGAATACCAAAATGATCTTTTGTATAGCTCTGTGTTTGGTGTGTGTAATGGCATGAAATTTGATGGTTTCTTTTGTGTGATCATGTGCACATGCGCTGTCTGTCTCTCTCTCGCTCGTTCTCTGCAAGTATATGTATAGAGAGATAACAGAAAAATTTAAATGTGTAAAAATTTACACTCATTTGTGAGAATTTATTTTCTTTAATAAACACATCTAAATCACTTATTGTATATCAGGCACTTAGCTACGCACTCTACATTTTACACATATTAATTTGATCCTCATAAGACTCAGCACAAAGATATTAAGTAATTTGTTCAGGATCTTAGAGCTGGTTAAGTGGAGAAATGGGATTCAAATCCAGGCTGTCTCCTTCTTAACCACTTTGTCTTGCCACCTGGCATTTCATTAGAATGATCTCTGATCACTTTCCTGCTTTCATTTTTTCTTTCTTTGTTGGTTTTCTTTGAAATGTTTTTTAAAAATTTACTCCCCTAATAATTATTAAATAGTTTAGAATTTTCTCTAGGAAAAGGAGATTTAGGCATTTAGGACATCATTCTTTCCTTTTTCATACATCAAATAATAATACATTATTTTCACCTAGAGCAATCGAGTCACATTGAAGATGGATGTTTCACATACAGAACATTCGCATGTAATTGGCAAAGGTGGCAACAATATTAAAAAAGTGATGGAAGAAACCGGATGCCATATCCACTTTCCAGATTCCAACAGGAATAACCAAGCAGAAAAAAGCAACCAGGTCATTTGTCTTTTCACATGAACTAGTATGGGATGAATTACAGCCTTAATTTTCAGTGTACTTATCTTTTTTTTGAGAGTTGACACCCCAAAAAATCATATGGATGACATATAGTGTAGACTGTACAACTCGCTGCAAGGAGATTGAAGGTGCTGGGCTTTTCTGAGATGAGTTGTAGATAGGCCCTAAACTCTTGATCTCAAAATGATTGATAGAAAATAGGGGAAGGTGTAATGGCCACAAAACAAAACCCTAAAGGAAGGCTGAGAGAGCATGTCATTGAAGACCTGGAAGGTTGCCTAGTCCAGGAACCTATCCATTGCCTGGTTCTGTCTATAATAGAGACCTAGCAGCAGGTAGCTCCAAGGTATACCAGATCACCTTCTGAGAAGCAGTGCATTATTGCCTGACTTCTTACATTGCCTTAATTATGTCTCTCTCTAGTTTATACACATCTATGCTAGTTATTCTGTTTCGAAGTGGGTGGAACTCATCCGTCCACATGCAATCAGTTTCAGGACTTGAAGAACAGATAGTATTATTTGTGCTATTTGAAAGTATTCTCTCTTTTAAACTAATCGCAATACTTGAAACTGTCAACCACAAAGATGAATAAGTAGTCTTTTCTCTACAGGGACTCATGGTGACAGTGGGATGTGTGAATCAGGGAATAGACAGAAAGCTATAGTAAAAAGCAAAGACAATATTCAGAATATTTAAAAACTGGTATGGCATGGCCATTGATCCTAAGAGCAGTGTCCTGAAGCCCCTGTATCCACCACCACAATGCCAAGACTAACAATTTGAGTCAATGGATCATGGGAAGGCCAGGAGATTTCAGAAGAAAGCTCCAGGTAGATGTTGGAGCAATGATTATGTACCATCTATTTGGAAGAAGTTCACTATTTTCCAAACCTAGTGTGGAAACCTAGCTATGTCATTGAATATTTTTACGTATCTGATATGCGAAGACCTTAAACCAAAGGGAGAAAATGCAGTGAACAAGGGTAATTATAAAGAGGGCAGGATGATCTCCTGGGGACTGTAGGGCTTTCAGTAAGTCCAGTGGGTGAAACAGATCAGTTGACACAAATTACCTGAGGATCTCATTAAAATGCATATTTTGATTATGCAGGTCTGGATGGGGGCCTGTGATCCTTTATTTTTAACAAGCTTCTGGATAATACTTCTATATTTGTCCCTGGGTGACACTTTGAGTAGTAAGCATGTAGATTAACTGGAAAAGCAGATGGGAGTTTGATTAAAATAAATCTAACACTGTATTTTCCTCCTCTTACAGGTTTCTATAGCAGGACAACCGGCAGGAGTAGAATCTGCCCGAGTTAGAATTCGGGTAACTATTTATTACTTTAACATTGTAAATTGATGTCAGCAACATTTGCATTATAAGGCATTAAAATATTATAATTTATCATTTTTTAACTAAATCACGTTTAATCAGTAGGAAATAGTGGCAAAAGTTGTTTTAATATCTATCTTAGCATTCAGTATCTAAATGTTTATTGTATATGTTCAAAAAGTGAGTTTCTATATTATCTATAAACCTTTTTCATTGAAAATGTTTCTCAGAGATGTTCTGGATTTTATCTTACTCGATTTTTCTAGTTTTTATTCAATGTTCATTAAGAGGCCTAAGGAAAAATGTCACAGGCAATGAGTTACAAACAGGTTTCACAAAAGGCTCCCTTCATTTAAAATCATTTATAGGCCAGTTATGGTGGCTCACACCTATAATCTCAGTGCTTTGGGAGGCCACGGCAAGAGGATCACTTGAGGCCAGGATTTTGTGACCAGCCAGACAATATAGCAAGACCCCATCTCTCTACAAAAAAATTTTAAAAAATTAGCCAGGTACAGTGACATGCCTGTAGTCCCAGCTATCCAGGAAGCCAAGGTGAGAGGATCACTTGAGCCCAGGATGTTGAGGCTGTAGTGAGCTGGGATGACACCACAGCACTCCAGCCTGGGTGACAGAGCAAGACTGACTCAAAAAAATAAATAAATAAATAAAAAATAAACTTTATATAGTGCAGCTAAACTTAATATTTATAATAAGGGCAGTTTGTGTTTTAAAATTCATCTTCAGAAAAGAATGAATGAATGATACACATCCCTGAATGTCTAATGCTTTAACTTTCTGCTTTGGACTCTCATCATTTCATTTTAGGAGCTGCTTCCTTTGGTGCTGATGTTTGAGCTACCAATTGCTGGAATTCTTCAACCGGTTCCTGATCCTAATTCCCCTTCTATTCAGCATATATCACAAACGTACAATATTTCAGTATCATTTAAACAGCGTTCCCGAATGTATGGTGCTACTGTCATAGTACGAGGGTCTCAGAATAACACTAGTGCTGTGAAGGTAAATTATTCTGATAATTCTGCATATCCTGTATGTACAAATTATATGAGTTTTATTTTTAAAGGATATTAGACTAATTGATTTCCAGAATTTTCCTTCATTCTACATTTTGGTTTGCAGAATATGCTGAATTTTTCCATAGCTGTTAGAAGTGCAATAGAATCTTTCCCTCTATATAGACAGCTAATTTATAGGATTATTTCCTTCCCACCCTTTTCTCTTAGGAAGGAACTGCCATGCTGTTAGAACATCTTGCTGGGAGCCTAGCATCAGCAATTCCTGTGAGCACACAACTAGATATTGCAGCTCAGCATCATCTCTTTATGATGGGTCGAAATGGGAGCAACATCAAACATATTATGCAGAGAACGGGTGCTCAGATCCACTTTCCCGATCCCAGTAATCCACAAAAGAAATCCACCGTCTACCTCCAGGGCACCATTGAGTCTGTCTGTCTTGCAAGGCAATATCTCATGGTAAGGTTATTGAAATAAGTGTTAGATTTTTTTTTTACACCTCTTTGGATATAATGCATGCTTTTGCACCTACTGTACTAATGTGACATTTAGGAAAGCACTTTGGAAGCCTGGTCAAATAAGGAATTTTCTTGGTAAAAGGAAATTAGAAGAGTAAGGTTCATAGTGCCTCAACAGGTTTAATTTCATTGCATATGTACTTTTATTTCAGTGTGTGTGTGTGTGTGTGTGTTTTAACTTAGACTAAACACAGAAGAGGTTATAGTGAAATAATTGCATTTTGTGGTAAAGATGGAAGGTGACTGTTTTCATATGACCTGTAATATTAGTGTACAGCTTGTATTTGTCACAAAAAAAACTCCTCTGTTTAAACAGAAAAGTAAAAATGCTATTCAAATTTCACCATCAAAGACAAATTTTGTAAGCCCAAAACATTTGTACATTTCATAAATCTTCAATACAATTAAAAAATACTATTTAAGCCACACATTTGAGTGTCCCCTATTGAAGGAAGAAGAGTGAAGTTGTATGTTATAATTCAGTACTACTTTCCTATTTCTAATTGATAATTGCAATATTTCTGTCCTTCCCATATTTGTTTAAAACCCCTTGGCCGGGCGTGATAGCTCATGCCTGTAATTCCAGCGCTTTGGGAGGCCAAGGCAGGCAGATCACTTGAGGTCAAGAGTTCGAGACCAGCCTGGCCAACATAGTGAAATCCAATTTCTACTAAATATACAAAAATTAACTGGGTATAGTAGTGGACGCCTGTTATCCCAGCCACACAGGAGGCTGAAATAGAAGAATTGCTTGAACCCAGGAAGAAGAGATTGCAGTAAGCTGAGATGGCACCACTGCACTCCAGCCTGGGTAACAGAGGGAGATTGCATTAAAAAATAAAATGAAGTGAAATGAAATGAAATGACATGAAATATCCCAGTGTATGGGGTGATAATATAGTAACAAAATGGATGGATGTGATGCTGAGCTCACAAATACTTGTATTAAAAACACCATTGTATTCTCTCATTCAGTGCTTGACCTTTAGTGGCATTTGAATCAGTAAGCCTCAGGTGTGACATTTGCTATTGTTAACTTGTAGGGTTGGGTTTTGAGAAATTTTCAGAAAAATCTGTGTTTTTGTTGCTGATTCCATTCCTCTGACAGATGAGAACTTGTTGGAATCATTTAAGGTTGTAATCCATGATTATGAGAAATTTGTTGGGAATAATGTTTTTTTTAACTGAGCTAATTTTATCAGGTTATTTTTAATATACTGTACTACAAGTCAGATTTATATTTATATCCAAGAATTGTTATAATCAATCTTCATGTTTTCTTTTTTCTGCTTTACAAGTTCTTTAGATGTTAGTTTCTAGTTCAGTGAAAATTTTCAAATATTTTATACAGTTATTAATCCACACTTACATTTGGACCATACCTGCCAAAAATAGGTATAAATGACATGTATTATTGCACATCACTGAAATAAATGGAGAAATTAAAAGGCTTTAACCCGTATTTTAAATACCATCACCATTTTGTATAGCACTATTCTTATAAAAATATCACTTTCTTCCATAGGAGAAATGGAACATAGTATTTCTTTTTTTTTCTTTTTCTAATTTTAGACAAGGTCTCACTCTGTTGCTCAGGCTGGAGTGTAGTAGTGCATTCTCAGCTCACTGCAACCTCTGCCTCTTAATTGAAGTGATTCTCATGCCTCAGCCTCCCGAGTAGTTGGGATTACAGTCATGTGCCACCATGCCTGGCTAATTTTTGTAGTTTTAGTAGAGATAGGGTATCACTGTGTTGGCCAGGCTGGTCTCAAACTTCTGGCCTCAAGTGATCCACTCACCTCAGCCTCCCAAAATGCTGGGATTACAGGCTTGAGTCACAGTTCCTGGCTAGGTCATTCATTTTAATTCTAGTAGGCTTAATGATAACCTCTCCTGATATACATGTACAAATTCCAGCACCCAGTGGGCTAACACTGGGAATTCTGTGCAATAGAAAAAGTATATTACATTGTTCCTAGACTAATTAGATTAGAGGCTCTGAGTAGAGCATTAGAGAAAAAAAATCCAAAAAATGAGATAGTTAAAAGAAGGGAAATAGTCACAATTTACTCCAGGAAGGAAGAAAGGTTTAAGCTGCATTAGGTTAAGTAGGATTTATATTGGTAAGGAAGTTTTTGATTAGTTAAGACAGGGTCCTCAATACAGGGGACACAAACCAGACTGATACTGGTCAGTGGCCTGTTAGGAACTAGGCCACACAGCAGGAGGTGAGCAAGCAAAACTTCATGTGTGTTTACATCTCCTCCCCATCACTCGCATGAACCACCTGAGCTCTTCCTCCTATGTGGTTAGCAGTGGCATTAGATTCTTACAGGAAAGTGAACCCTATTGTGAATTGTGCATGCAAGGGATTTAGGTTGCATGCTCCTTAGAATCTAATGCCTGATGATCTGTCACTGTCTTCCATCACCCCCAGATAGGACCATCTAGTTACGGGAAAACAAGCTCAGGGCTCCCACTGATTTTATATTATGGCGAGTTGTATAATTATTTAATTACATATTACAATGTAATAATAATAGAAATAATGTGCCAAATAAATGTAATGTGCTTGAATTGTCTGAAACCATTCCCCCTTCCCATCCCCTCCCCTTGTCTGTGAAAAAATTATCTTCCATGAAACCAGTCTGTGGTGCCAAAAAGGTTGGGGACCCCTGAGTTAAGATATCAAAGTACAGGATCCTCTTAAAAGATAGTTAAGTTAGAGAGACTGGTCTAACCTGGAGGAAGGAGAAGACATATAGACATAGATCTGTGGTTGGACTAGTGAGTCTGGGCTAAAATCTCAAACTCTTTAAATGCTCAATCATGTTTCATTCAATATACACTAAAAAGTTACCATTGGAAGTCATTGAGCAAAGGCCAAGATTAGTACCCTTGATGTAGTCGAGAATCTAGTTTCTAACATAACTAACAAACTGAAGTTAGAGAATGAAGGAATTTTCCAAGATTCACAGTGGATTAAAAAAATCCACTTTGGGAGGCCGAGATGGGTGGATCACGAGGTTGAGAGATTGTGACCATCCCGGTCAACATGGTGAAACCTCGTCTCTACTAAAAATACAAAAAATTAGCTGGGCATGGTGGCGCGTGCCTGTTATCCTAGCTACTCGGGAGGCTGAGGCAGGAGAATTGCCTGAACCCAGGAGGTGGAGGTTGCAGTGAGCCGAGATCGCGCCATTGCACTCCAGCCTGGGTAACAAGAGCGAAACTCCGTCTCAAAAAAAAAAAAAAAAAAAAATCCAGGCCAAAAACAGAAACTTAGGACATATAATTTTGTCATCCAAAAATGGTTTTCTCCCCCTCAACATTAATGCCACACCTGTCCTCCAAGCTCTGTGAAGTTATATAATTTAGCTTTAATACTTCATTTTGGTCTTTAAATCTGTATAATATTGCATTATTTGCAGCCATGTCAAAGTATCAGGTGTTTAAATGATTAATTTTTTACCTCCTACACATTTTTGTGACATGTTTTAGGGTTGTCTTCCTCTTGTGTTGATGTTTGATATGAAGGAAGAAATTGAAGTAGATCCACAATTCATTGCACAGTTGATGGAACAGCTCGATGTCTTCATCAGTATTAAACCAAAGCCCAAGCAGCCAAGCAAGGTTGGTTCAAAGTCTGGATGCAGAGAATTATGTATCTTATCATATTCTGTATAGTTTTATTTTGCATATAAGCACATATTTGCATATGCATGAAACTACTCTATACAGGTTGAATATCCCCAATCTGGAATGCTCCAAAATCTGAAACTTTTTGAGCACTGACATGACAGTCAAAGAGAATGCTCGTTGGAGGATTTTAAATTCTGGATTTTCACGTTAGGGATGCCTGACCAGTGCACATATTCCCAAATCCTCCAAAACCCCAAATCTAAAACACTTCTGGGCTCAAGCATTTCAGATAAGGGATACTCAAATTGTATAATATATATGTCATTCTATATTTAGTTATCTAATATAAATCTGAAACAATATTCATTATAGATCATCATTTTCTTTATATATGTGTTGGTTTTTGGAGTCCATTTAGAGTAACCATTATTTTTCCATAGTTATATGAGAAGGAAAGAACGTTCATTCTTAATTTGGAATCTGGTAATTTGAAGCTTTACAAAGTAACCTGAGGGTTGATAAGGCTACTTATGTGTTTTGTGTGTGTGTGTTTGTGTGTGTGCACACGTGTACATACTAATTCAGAAATTATTTAGACTAGTTATAATGCCATCCCCTGTGCAACCTGGAGAGTTAAAGAAGAGGTGCCTGTGTTTTTTCGTAAATACTTTAAGGACTGAACTGTCTCTAGTTCAGCGTTCTTGGAACATCTCCTCAGAGTGTTGTAAAATTTCAGTAACTACATGTAGAGTAAAAATTTAATGGAATAAATCTATCTTTTTTTTGAGACAGGGTCTCACTTCATTGCCCAGGCTGGAGTGCAGTGGTGCCATCATGGCTTACTGCAGCCTTAACTTCCTGGGCTCAGGTAGTTCTCTCACCTGAGCCTCCCAAGTAGGTGAGACCACAGGCATGCGCCACGACACCCAGCTAATTTTTTGCATTTTGTGTAGAAATGGGGTTTCGCCACGTTGCCCAGGCTGCTCTTGAATTCCTGAGCTCAAGCAATCCACCCACCACAGCCTCCCAAAGTGCTGGGATTACAGGTGTGAGTCACCATGCCCAGCCCAGAATAAGTATTTTATTAAGTGCTAGTAAGTATAAGGAAAGAGGAATGTTTCTACATTAGTATTGTTGTTTAAACTAGCACAACCACTTTGAAGGGCAATCTCTGATCATCCCATTTTTCTAAAATATTGATTCCCTTCCTGCAGCAGTTCTACTTCTAATTATGCACTCTGAAAAACACCTCTGTACCAGGAAACAACATGAGAATGGTGTTGAGTAAAAAATGTATATTGCATCATAGTATGTACTCAATGGCAGCATTTATGTGTGTATATATGTCTATACATTTTTAAGTACAAAGCATTCTCTAGAAGAATGCACACAAAAGTCATGATGAGTTGCCTTTGGGGCAATAGAAAGGAAAATGGAACAAAGTAAATGAGGGAAATGCTCGATTTCTTTAACAAAAATCAGAAACAAGAAAATAATAACACCATTTAAAAAATTTTAAACTGTAGTGCTCGCTTCGGCAGCACATATACTAAATTTTGAAACTATAAATTTTACATGTATAGAATGGTGTATATATAATATGTATTTTATATAATTTGCTATATGTAAATAATGCGGTAATCACTGTCCAACTGAAGAAAAATGATCATGCCTTCTCAGAAGGAAAGCATTGATTCTAAGTGAACTTGATATAATGAGTTTAAAGTTAGGGAACAGGACATTAATTTTATGTATTGTGAAGATTCATGTGTGACTAATTTGAGTTGACCAGAGTCACCGTAGATATGAGGACTAAAAGATAGACAGGAGAGACAGTAGCAGACTTGTGCATATAAACATGGACAGGCACAAGAATTCCAGGAGTTTGGTAAGAAATGAGCAGAAGTCAAGGAAAAATAGATTGCAAATGAGAACTCCAAAGCTTTGCAGCATCCCAGGGCCATTTAATTATGCCTAGCTGGCCCCCATTCTAACTACTGCCTTAACTGCTTTCTCAGCCACAAGTTTGTTTTTTTTTTTTTGGTCCATTGAAGGCTTTCCCCTTTGAGTTCACATTTCAAAATTTCTAGATGAGACCACTGAGGAAGAAAAATGATTATTTAGAATTTTTCTTTTTACTGTAAGCTTTGCCATAGATACGTGACCAATGAGGAATAGTCGTACCTCAAGGTCTATTAGCTAACTAGTAAACCATAAATGTCAAACATAATTGAAGATGATTATGCAGTCTATTTGTGGTCAGAAGTTTGATTTGGTATGTAAAGATGTGAAGGGGAAGCTTTAGTGTTAAGATGAGATGCTGTAAAAAGGGAACCAGAGTTCCCATCCTCTTGGTGCCCCTTTGCAGCTGTGCCATGATCTTGGCTAAGTCTCTTAACTTCACTGAATATAAATAAATATAAATATAAACCTTACCTACCCTGTAAGGTTTTGCTGAGAATGGGAACATATGTGCAGCTACTATCACAGCTCCTGGAACACAGAACATGCCCAATAAATGGTAACTAATATTTTAGGGTTTTACCAGAAGGAGTAAACTTAAGCACTAAGAAGGTAGAATTTGCAGATGATTTTAAAGCAGCATTGATATGTCCCCTGAGTAGAATTCTTATTGGCATATTCATTTTCCACCTCCCTCCCCTCCCCCATTCATTGTAGACTACTTGCATGTCACTTTTTTTTCCCATTATGTGTTTTCATAGTCTGTGATTGTGAAAAGTGTTGAGCGAAATGCCTTAAATATGTATGAAGCAAGGAAATGTCTCCTCGGACTTGAAAGCAGTGGGGTTACCATAGCAACCAGTCCATCCCCAGCATCCTGCCCTGCCGGCCTGGCATGTCCCAGCCTGGATATCTTAGCTTCAGCAGGCCTTGGACTCACTGGACTAGGTATACAATTTATTATTACAGCGTGTCTCAGTCACTGGGGAAATGCTTATCTGGTTCCCTTTCTTTCTACCATTTGGGTCTATATTAAAAGGCTTTTTTTTTTCTTCTTGGGGCTGTAAGATCAGATGAAAAGCCATATAACCTGAATCAATCCATTTTGGGTTTTTTAGTCTCTGTAGATTCTGTACCCAGATTCTTCCATGTTCGCATAAATAATCAAGGCCTGACTGTTTTATTTTCAGTGGCTGTGTTTGTTCTAAATTAAGAATGCCATTGAGATTGAAGTAAGCGTGCTGACAGTAATTTATGTTTGTTCTCTCTTGCATTTGCAATGTTGCCATCGGTCCCTAGAGATAAAGATTATCCAGTTTGCTTTTTAAAAAGTAATTGCAAATCTGTATGAGGGGTGCGGAGTGGGGGTGAAAATAAGCAGAACTCCCATCCCCAGTGGTTAGGCTTGCCTTACCCAGACACAAAGGAAATCTAGCCTGAGGCCAGACCTGTATTTCTCTCTAATGTGAGGAATAGAAAATAGGAGAAAGAACAAACATCATCATCTCAGAGCTTTAGTTAGGAAAGTAGAATGAGCTGCTTAATAGTCATGGTAATATTTATGTCCTCATCTATGGATTGCTGTTTTATAGGCTGAAGTTAGTTGCTGTATTACAGTTTTGCTAGATGCACTTCTTTCTTGCACATTTCTCAGTTGCATTTATTTTCCTTAATCAGTACTCCTCCTAGTCAATCATTCTGGTTCATTGAGTGTTGACTTGAGACAAAAAAAAAAAAATACTTTCAGCAGTCTTTAAAAAATTTTTTTTCTAGTAGCTATTCTTGCATTTAACTTTTAAGAAATTTAATACTCTTATGATGGACTTTCCAAGTAGCCCTGCCTTGACATCGTTAAAGATTTTTTTTTCTTGGCCCCTAATCTACCAAAGTTGTTCCTTCCACTGGGACCTGAACAGAGTCATAATAACATAGCAATGACTGTGAGTCAGGAAATGCCAATTAGGTAACTTAGCAGGAACCGAGTTCGTTCTGCACTAGAGAGAAAACAAGTGAGCAAAGATTCAGTAACCAAATTTAAAAAATGTTTTTATTCTATACCTATCCTGTTATACTTAATGCTTTATGTATTCTTGGAAACTTGTATACAAATCTGCATTTTATGCTAGAATGTATTTTAAATGCCCAAAGGAAAATTCCATTATTTAAATCGAGTATTGACTCCTTAGAACAAAAAAACAGTATTTTTTTCTGAGAAAATTTTCATCATTGAGATGGAGTCCAAAGAAGTCATGTATATGCTTTGACATACATTTAAGAACTGTTCTGGTAGCCTACCCTATGTGCAGCTGGGCCAGATAGATCCATCCTACCACAGGAAAAGATTCCCTTGTCACTGCTACATGTGAGTAGTTTGAAAGGGTTTGTTTGTAAGCAGATGACAAATGAGTTATGCAGAAGAATAAAAATGAGTCTCCACTTGAGCTGCATTGTGCTCATCCTGGCTAGCTGACATGAATGCAAAGCACCTGGTAATGCTGAAGGACCCTAACTGCCATCCTAGTCTGGGCACACCTATGTTCCATTTTCTGATAGCATCTGTTTGTTGGATAAGCTGCTTCCTCAGTTGGAGTTGTATAATGCAAAATTCATGTGAATATTTGAAAGAAAATCTGTCATCCATATTTTATATATAGAAAATATCAGATTATATCATTGTGCATTCCAAATAGCAATATTGGTGCCATTTCTATTTTAAAATATTAAATTTATGTGAATTGACTTTACATATTCATTTATTACAGGTCTTTTGGGTCCCACCACGTTATCTCTGAATACTTCAACAACCCCAAATTCACTCTTGAATGCTCTTAATAGCTCAGTCAGTCCTCTGCAGAGTCCAAGTTCTGGTACACCCAGCCCCACATTATGGGCACCCCCACTTGCTAATACTTCAAGTGCCACAGGTCAGTATCACTTAAGTATATTCTAAGATGTGTATTCTTCGGTGTTACCAGTTTTTTAAATAAAATTTACTAATGGTTCAGTTTTCTTAGGGAAAAGTTATGGTTCAAAGCATACTCCATTGAAACAGAAATTCCCTGATATGTAAATTAGTTGAAATGAAGCACAGCAAAACAGCCTTTTTCATACAAGTGAAATATCATCTTCAAATGTGATAAGCAGACCTGGTAGTTAGGTTCTAGTTGGAATAACTTGCTAGTAGTCATGTGCATCAGTACAATGAGAGGGTTGGATTAAATATTCTCTGTGGTGGTGTCCCATTTTAACACTTTTTTTGTGTTTCTATGGTAAATAGTACCTCTGTTTACAGAGGTATCAACCTTGAATTCTTTTCTGAATTTGCAGCAGCAAAAATGATATTTTTATTGTTAATAAAAATTATAGTTGATTCTGAGTTTCTTCCTAATATCTGTTGTTATAAAATGTTGTTATAGGTTTTTCTGCTATACCACACCTTATGATTCCATCTACTGCCCAAGCCACATTAACTAATATTTTGTTGTCTGGAGTGCCCACCTATGGGCACACGGCTCCATCTCCCCCTCCTGGCTTGACTCCTGTTGATGTCCATATCAACAGTATGCAGACCGAAGGCAAAAAAATCTCTGCTGCTTTAAACGGACATGCACAGGTAATGGCTTTCTGCTACAATAATGTGATCTCTGCTCTTTGTAAGATAAGTCCCTGGTAGTTACATGTTTAAACGTTCACCTAAAATGAATTTTATTTACTTTTTTCAACTTTTTAGGGTCAGGGGTTACATATGCAGGTTTGTTACATGAGGAAATTGTATCTGTAATCCACCTTGAGTTAATTTGTATATATGGTGAAAGGTAGGGGTCTGGTTAGCTGCTGTTCTGCATATGACTAGCCAGTTATCCCAGAGCCATTTATTGAACATGGATTCCTTTCCCTAATGCTTGTTATTGTTGAATTTATTGAAGATCAGATGGTTGTAGGAATACAGCTTTACTTTGGATTTTCTATACTGTTCCCCTAGTCTATATGTCTATTTATTTATTTAACGCCAGTACCATGCTATTTGATTAATGTAGCCTTGTAGTATAGTTTGAAGTCAGGTAGTATGATGCCTCTAGCTTTCTTCTTGTTGCTTAAGATTGTTTTGGCTATTTGGGCACTTCTTTGGTTCCAGATGAATTATAAGTTTTTTCTATTTCTGGGAAAAATTCTAAACTATTCTTAAGTTTTTTTCTATTTCTGGAAAAAAAAGATGTTTGTAGTTTGATAAGCATAGCATTGAATCTATCTGTATGTTACTTTAGGAAGTATGGCCATTTTAATGATACTGATTTTCCTGATCCATAAGCCTGTGATGTTTTTCCATTTGTTTGTATCATCTCTGATTTCTTTCAGCAATGTTTTGTAGTTCTCCTTGTAGGTATCTTTCAAATACTTGGCTCTAACCACTTTTTTTCATGGTTTTCTTTTTTGTGGCTGTTATAAATGGGATTGTGCTCTTGATTTGACTCTTTGTAAAATTGTGGCCATATTTATATATTATTTTCTATTACTATTTTAGTCTCCAAATATAAAATATGGTGCAATATCCACTTCATCACTTGGAGAAAAAGTGCTGAGTGCAAATCATGGTGATCCATCCATCCAGACAAGTGGGTCTGAGCAGGCATCTCCCAAATCAAGCCCTACTGAAGGTCAGGAACTGTATCTTTTCTTCTGAAATTCATTTTGGTTATTTGGAAAAAGGAGGTTGTAGAGTCTATGCAGTGATTTTTGAGTTGGTTTTGGTAAACAGCTATGATCTTCGTACCTCAATGACGTGGAAAAACAACATCCTAAATAAAATTTCAAAGATTATGGTGAAAGATTAACTGAAAAGCACTTTCCACAGAAAGAATCTCTTCCCCATTAAATTGTAAGTTCCTGAATTAAAGTGAAGGTAATTGTGTATCAGGAAATGGTGTGTGTGTGTGTGTGTGTGTGTGTGTGTGTGTGTGTGTTTCCCCCAAGTAGAGTGTCTTTTTATAACCCTTTTACCCCCCCAAAATATTTAAAATATATGCAGATGTTCTCTTCAAATTGAGTTTTTGTGACAGCCTGAACTTGTTAAGGTGTTCTGTTTGCAGATGAAAGAGGTCTGTGTTAGGCTAATTATGTCTCCATAAAGTAGGGTTCTGATTTGTTTCCATTGCAGGTAATTGTCAAGTGGAAGGTGATGTGATTTATGTGTTCCACTTTTTTTCCTTCTCCTGTGCAGGTTGTAATGATGCTTTTGTTGAAGTAGGCATGCCTCGAAGTCCTTCCCATTCTGGAAATGCTGGTGACTTGAAACAAATGATGTGTCCCTCCAAGGTTTCGTGTGCCAAAAGGCAGACGGTGGAGCTATTGCAAGGCACGAAAAACTCACACTTACAGTATGTATTTTAATCTTAAAAGAGCCTTTGATTTTTTGAAATCATGTGTATTTTCTCTGAACTCTAATAGTTAGTATTCTTTGATTCAAGTCATGTTTGATCTCATCCATGGGTTTCATTTTATCTTTTTAAAAAAATTATTAAGGAATAATATCTGATAATTTTCATCCTTTCTTCTCTATAGTCCCTTCCCCCTTTAATGAGTTGATTTATATCTGTGCCCTCTAAACAATCTGTACTACTCTGAAACTGTGGCATTCTCCCCACTCTTCAGTAATCAGCTAGGCCATTTTTATTCTCTGATTTTTGCCGTTCGAAATTTTCCCACTGTGAATTCTCCGTCCTTTGGCTTTGAATTTCTTTCTTACTGTGGCTCCTTTTTTTCCCCAAGGTAGTTAATAGCAAACTTTTAAATAAATGTCTGACATTATCATGACTTTGTGTTTTCCAAATCACTTTGGTTTATAATTACGTAAATCATATTAAATATAACTCTTCCTTACCATAGCATAGTTACAAGTGTGTCATCCTTACTCCATTTTCTTCTGCTGTCTTATTAGTTCCTGATATACCCTTCTAGAGTGTCTTAATGCAAAGATTAGCATACATAGTTTTATTTTCTCTTTCTTACTAAAATTCATTTTCCTTTGTAAACTCTTTGGTCAGTTAATCAGTATTACCCATTATTGTCCAGTTCTCCTTTATCTGTGTTTTTTCTTTACATGGCGCTAATACCTAAAATTAATGTTCTTATTATAGATTAGAGAAACAGTTTTACTTTCTTCAAACTATTGAACTATTTGAAATACTCTCATCTTGTCATCACTGAGTATGTTCTGAACCTTCTCATGGTCTTCATCTGTCTTAAGCTGCAATCTCCAGAAAGATCTCCCTGCCTCCAGTCTCTGATTAGCTTGATCTATCTTTTATTTTGCTCCAGTAATTTATTTTTGAAAACAGGTTTAATCTTGTCATACTCTGGCTTAAAATCCACCAATGGTTTGTGCTGCAAGATTCCTTTCTTTACTTATGCTTTTCCCTCTGACTTGTTCTCCAAGGGTTCAAGCAATTCCCTTGCCTCAGCCTCCTGAGTAGCTGGGACTAGAGGCGTATGCCGCCACTCCCAGTTACTTTTTTGTATTTTAGTAGAGACGGGGTTTCACCATGTTGCCCAGGCTGGTCTTGAGCTCCTGAGCTCAGGCAATCTGCCCTCCCAAAATGCTGGGATTACAGGCATGAGCCACCACACTTGGCCTATTCCTTTATTTATTTTTTAATTTGAGACTGGGTTTTACAGCCCAGGCTGGAGTGCAGTAGCGCAATCACAGCTCACTGGAGTCTCCACTGCTGGGCTCAGTGATCCTCCCACCTCAGCCTCCTGTGTAGCTGTGACTACAGGCACACACCACCCACCACACCCAGCTAACTTTTTGTAGAGATGGGGTTTGTGTCATGTTGCCCAGGCTGGTCTTGAACTCCTGAGCTCAAGCAATCTGTTTACCTCGGCCTCCCAGTGTTGGGATTACAGGCGTGACCCTGTTTCTTCTTGAAGACCACACTAGATAACGTGTCCTCTTTGAAGCCTTCCCGATAGTTACTTCCTCTGTTTTCATGCTGTTCTGCGTAGGTCTATACATCTATTACTGCATACATCATATAATATTGCAATGATTTATCTATTCATCCATCTTGTCTGGGAGATTCTGAGCTCTTATTTATTTTTTTTTTTTTACTGCTCCTGGTGGAGCAGGGCTACCGGATAGGCAGTGTGCCCAGAGCAGCTGATTCTGAGCTTTTTGAGGGCAGGGAGATTTTCTGATTCATCCTGGAACACTCAGGACCCTCGGCATAGGGTCTGGCATAGGGTGGGTGTTAGTAACTGTTGAATGACTCAGGAACGAAGTGAATGGGAGTGAAGGGCCTGCAGGAGAATGTCTGGAAAAAGAGAGAGATGGGGTGGGGGGAAGTGTGAAGGTGAGAAAGGTGGGAATGGGGAAGGAAGGCAATTGAGGCAATGTCGAGAACGTGCTTTGCTTAAACAAAGCCTTGCTTCATGGTCAGTGAGAGTCAGAGGTCCTAAGGGTTTCAACATGGAGAAGCTCTCAAAAGACAGAAGCTCCAGAACTGTTCTCCTTGCCAAAATATCAAGTGTTCATAGACCGCCGTGTGGGATTTAGTGCCCTGGGCTTCTCTGACTGGAGGAGATTTATTTGAAGGTTTAGTGTCTTGGAGAATTCACGTCTTCACTCCCAGGAGCCCAGCTTCTTTGGCACCAGCCAACTTGCAGATGCTCTTAAGTTCCCAGTTCAAATGTCCTTTGTGTTGCCTCTGTCAGCTTTTGTCAAGCAAAGTTAATTGTTCCTCTTTTTGTATTCCAATAGTACTTCTCTAAATTCCTCTAAATTCCCTTGGCACAACAGTTGAATAATTGAACAAATACAAATCATGAATGAATGAACAAACCAGTTCTTGATTGATGTTGCGATCCCTATTTTATTTCAGCCTAAAGTACAGTTAAACTTGAGGTGCATGCATTCTGTACATATCATGTGTTGTAATTCACATATTTGCTGCTGATTGTAAGAAGCACTTTTATGCTCTGCCTGTCCTGCTCAACAAGCTTTGGAGAATATTTCTTGTTAATCTGCTACCTTTGTTACCAATATCATATACTTATTTCATACATGTGAATTGGATCATCAACATGCCTCCAAATTGACTGGATCTCTGTCTAGACTTTGCATGCATGAGTCATCGATATCTCCTTGATGTATAAAAATTAGAAATCTTGCCTATAGATTTATTCCTTCTATATCATATGCTGTATACCATATATACTATACATACTGTGTTTGAATGTGCATCACGAAATAGTTTCGAGCCGAGTACCCACTTTCAAATTCCAGCTCTGCCATTCACATTAGAATATGACCTTGGACAGTGTACTTTCTTCATCAGCAAAGTGGGGATAACAACAGTACCTGTGTCATAGTATTGTTTTGAGGATTAAATGAGGGAATATGTGTAAATAGCTGATGATGATAAACATGCATAATAAATGTGGCACATAGGAAACGTTAAGAACATTTGTATATATAGTAGATTGTTAAATTCCACACTCTGTTTCACAGCAGCACTGACAGGTTGCTCTCAGACCCTGAACTGAGTGCTACGGAAAGCCCTTTGGCTGACAAGAAGGCTCCAGGGAGTGAGCGCGCTGCAGAGAGGGCAGCAGCTGCCCAGCAAAACTCCGAAAGGGCCCACCTTGCCCCACGGTCATCATATGTCAACATGCAGGTAATGGTCATAAAATAGGAAAGACATTCAAATGTCACGTGTTTGGGTTCAAGCATGGAGAATTCAGTGAGTGTTCAGCAGTAGTACAGAAATTAGGTTTTTCCTCTGTGCTACATTCAAAATGAAATTGAAGTATATATGCTATAAACATTAAAATGTTATAGTTTGTTATAAACATTAAAGATGGAAAGTGGTATTTAAATGAGAATTCTTTAAAATATATTAAAAATGGAGAATGCTCTGTGTCACTATCTTATGCAAATAACATTATTCATTTGTTACTTGAATTTTAGATGCAGTTGAGGGACTGTATTTCTAAGTATTACTGCTTCATGGCATAGTCTTGGATAAATAGATATACAGTTTTTGGTGTAATGAAGATGATAAATGTGTTTGGTGCCATTTAAAGATAGTTATGAGAATAACTAATGTGGAGTGTTAGTCCTTTGAAAGTAGCTGATGAGTATTATTGATGATTGTGTTGTTCCTTCACAGTTTTTTTTATGATTAAACAACTTCCTCAATAGCAACTTTCAGTGTATCCATTTTCAAACTATATTAGGCTAATTATGCAAAATAGAATATTGACCATGAAATGCAGACATTTGATTTCCATATAGATCACAATGCGAAAGATAAACATTTTGTGCTTAGTGCTTTTAGGATGCTTGTAAACATTTGATGTCAGACAAGAATTGCTAAGTAGACTTACCTATTTCATCTTCCACCACCAAAAAAAGAGGAAGAATGTTTCACAAAAATCCTAGAAACAGAAAAGCCATCATAGATATGTCAATAAAATTAGTTCATGGAACTAAATTACATTACTGTAATTCTAGTGCAATCTGAAGTTTTTGCCTGCTTGTATTTTTTTTTTTTTTTTTTTTTTTTTTTGATGAAGTCTCGCTCTGTCGCCTGGAGGGCAGTGGCGTGATCTCCACTCACTGTAACCTCCGCCTCCTGGGTTCAAGCGATTCTTCTACCTCAGCCTCCCGAGTAACTGTGACTACAGGCATACGTTACCATGCCCAGCCATTTTTTGTATTTTTGGTACAGATGAAGTTTCACCTTGTTGGCCAGGATGGTCTCAATCTCTTGGCCTCATGATCCACCTGCCCTGGCCTGCCAAGGTGCTGGGATTACAGCTGTGAGATAACATGCCTGGTCCTTGTCTTTCTTTTAATCTTTTGCATTTGAAACATTTCTAAAGTTTTTTTATGAAATTGTTTTCTTTTTATGAAAGCCATGGACTTTATGATATGTCAGTGTTTAAAAAAAAAGACATTTAAGGCTGGGCACAGTGGCTCATGCATATAATCTCATCACCCTGGGAGGCCAAGGCAGGTGGATTGCTTGAGTCCTGGAGTTCAAGACCATCCTGGACAACATGGTGAAACCCCAACTCAACAATGAATTCTAAAAAATTAGCCAGGCATGGTGGCATGCACCTGTAGTCCCAGCTACTTGGAGGCTAAGGTGGGAAGATCACCTGAGCCTGGGAGGCAGAGGTTGCAGTGAGCCAAGATTGCACCACTGCACTCTAGCCTGGGCGACAAGTGAGGCCCTGTCTCAAAAATTAAAAATAAATAAAATAAAAAATATTTATTACATTTTCTCTGGTGGATGTATTTTCAGTTAATATGAAGTACAATTTATTTAATACATATCAAATCCCCTTTATAATCTTTCAGTGGTTTTTGTCTTATGGCTCTTGTCACCTTTTCCATCAGGTTTATACCTGCAGTGAACCAATTTCTTGTTTCTTTCTTTTAGGATGGGTGAGCATGGTCTTGATGTTTGAGTTTCAGCTTAACTAGATTTATTTATATTGTTAGTGAACAGCTGACTCAGAATCACTAAGAAATCAATGATTATATTCACTAAGCATTGACAGGGAGAAAGATTGAAAACTTCCCTGATTTCCTTGGCTGAAAATGATCTCTATCTCCTGATTGCTCTTGGAATGCTATATCCCTAGCTCTCTTTCTACACCTATCTCACTTTTTAATTTAGTTTATAGTTACTTCTCTTTCTCAGCCCTCCAAAGACTGCAAGTTGGCCCGGCATGGTGGCTTATATGCCTGTAATCACAGCACTTTGGGAAGCCAAAGTGCGCAGATCACCTGAGGTCAGGAGTTTGAGACCAACCTGACCAACATGGTGAAACCCTGTCACTACTAACAATACAAAAATTAGCTAGGCATGGTTGTGGGTGCCTATAGTCCCAGCTACTTGGGAGGCTGAGACAGGAGAATCACTCGAACCCAGGAGGCAGAGGTTGCAGTCACCTGAAATTATGCCACTGTGTACCAGCCTGGGCAGTAGAGCAAGACTCTGTCTCAAAAAAAGAAAAAAAACACATTCCTTGTTTATCTGGGACAGCCCCTGTTTACTTTTATTTTCCTGACCTAATTGTTATTCACAGCACATTTCACCAGAAATGTCCTGTTTCAGACCATAGATTATAGAGTTACCTTGTATATGATGGTATAGTCTTTCTGGTTAAAAAGCTTTTGCCGATTGGTCCTCCTGGTAGGCCTTTGAGACATGCTTACATCTAGTCTTAGGTATTTCCTAAATTGGAGGGCTGATAACGCTCAGAAAAGATTTGAAATGTAGCTGTATCTGCACTACTTTCTTCAAAATGATCTATCTTGGTTCTTACATAGACTTGACTACATCATAGTTATTCATTCAGTGTTGATGGAATGAATCAATGGTGCCATCCTAGCCCTGTACAATAAACAGTAACTAGGTTTAATTTTATGGCATTGCTTAATGCCATTATAGGTTAAAGTTAGACATTTGCCATTTATCTCACTTCGAAAGCAAAGACTATGCCAGTTAGGTTAAATAATTTCTTAGGTTATCTTGATATCATGCCATGCTTACCTAAATGAAGAGGGGATTTTTGAGACCCTAATGAGACCAATAGATACATGACAACATTTTGGAAATGTATTATTTCAAAATTCAGCATTATTATTATTAGGCTATTTATACTCTAGCAGACATTGGCTCTGGTGTGTTTGATATTTATGGTAAATAAGATTTTTTTTCTTTAAGGAAAAACTCTAACTCTTAAAGTCAAATTATAGTCAGAAGAGGTAACTTATTATTACTAATTAATTAGTGTTGGAAGCATGTTTAAAATTATCAAACTTACCTTGTATTTCTGTCACATTATTGTGAAAAGCTTCACATATGTCTCAGACAGATCACAGTCAAAACCTTTGTTCTCTAACCATGGAGTATTGGCATGATATTTGGAGAGGCTGTCAATAAAGATATTTTCTGTTTCATTTTCAGGCATTTGACTATGAACAAAAGAAGCTGTTAGCCACCAAAGGTATGTGATACACGAATCTATACTTGATTGTTTTTTTAGTACACTCATAACTGACTTTTGACTACTCATGGTGAATTGAGAACTTGGATACTCATGAAAAGAAATCTAGAATATTTGGGTTCAAGTTGAATTCCATTGAATATATTTTGTTGAATGGTTTAGCATTAGACCAATTAAGAAATAATGTAGCATTTTTTTCATTTATCATTACTTTGGATAAAATGTTTCATTAAGATATTTTTAGGCATTTTGTGCTAAGAAATAACATTTGGTGTTAATTTCTTCATATATATTAAAGAAACGACACTTACCAGTATTTTAATTAAGAAATGCATTAAACATACCAAGCATTGGTGTTATTTTGTTTTCAAAGCTATGTTAAAGAAACCAGTGGTGACGGAGGTCAGAACACCCACAAATACCTGGAGTGGCCTGGGGTTTTCTAAATCCATGCCAGCTGAAACTATCAAGGAGTTGAGAAGGGCCAATCATGTGTCCTATAAGCCCACAATGACAACCACTTATGAGGTTTGTGGAGTGATGTCCTACCCATTCTTCCTGTCTGTTCTCTCAGCAAAAGAGGACAGTGCTTCCCCCACCCTCATTCTTCATGTACTTTAGGAAAGATAATAAGTGGTCACTTTTTTTTATTTTTATTCCTATAAACATACTGATGCATTGTTGTGTATTATGATCTTTTATCTGTATTCTCTCAAAGTTGTTGATCAGCTCTTAAAGAGATGTAAATTTGGATGTGTGTTTTGTTAAGGGTGAGTTGTGTCATAAATGATTAGTATAGGGCTGAGAGACTAAGCAAAGAGCAGATGTAATATTCCATAAAAATGTATAAAGAGTCCTTTTATCCAAGGGTTTCATTAGCAAGGCCAACAAAGGGGGAAAAAGAAAATATTCAACAAAAATAGGTTTTCAAATATGAGTTAAAAATTCAGTGTGTTCAGATGTGCCAAGAACACAGCAAGAAGTATCTCAAACAAAAGCTCCAAAATTTTTATGTTTCCCAGATGTTGGCTACACTGCTTGGGTTGAGTCTGGGAAGCTGGCATTCCTACCATATGGAAGAGGGATACAGAGTTCCCTACTCCTCAGCCAGGCTACACGTGATTCACCAAGCAGGCCTTTTCCATTTCAAAGTATCAGATTTTGGCTCTAAGCCTTTGGGAGTGGGGGTGGGGGTGGGGCTAGAGTGTGTGTGCACACATACACAATGCTAGGGGAGTACAGACCCAAACATGGATGAAAATGATTAATTCAAGAGTCACAGTGTTCACCCAGAGAGAGCACTGTAGGACGAAAAACAAATACTGGTTAAGGGTTTCACAATTATTAGTCTAATAACTAGTATTTGTAGATTGACCTTTTCTCCACCCAGTTTCTTTGTAATAAATTAGTCTCTTGATGAAATGCAAAAGCAAACATGCTGCTTTTTTCTTTGTGTCTTTTGAGTAAATGAAAAAGAAAATACTATTAAAAAATTAAAAGAAATAGTCTCCTATGAATTTCATTGTCAGAGGTATAGTCGCAACCTGGCAGGCTGTATTTTAAAGATTGAAGTTACTTCAGCAGCAGAATGCAGGAACATTATGAAAAATGATGAGGCTCTAGGAGGTACACTCTTCTTTCTTCCATTTTAACACAGAGAAAATAAACATCTTTTTTTGTTAGCAGAGACCATAAAACTGCTGTGCTTATTCTTAAGAGTTTCACCTGATGTATGGTTACCCCTTTCAGCCCATCCTTGCTTTTGACAGAGTGAAGTGTGCTAGGTTATTGACTGTGTTCCTCCAGTTTCAAAGATGAAATATTTACTTTAGAAATGCTCATTCCGTTCTGCTTTCTAAGACCAATAAGAGGACAAGTTAAAAATGATGTTCATTTTGTTAATGGAGCAGTCAAGTACAATGTTCTGATAACGACCACTGACCAGATGTATAGTTTGGTGAGTGACGTCACTCATCTGAGCCGTCTCATTCAGGTTGTGCTGAGAAGGGCATTGGAGAGGGCATCCAGTGATTACCATGATGTGTTGTCAGTTCTTAGTGATATTTAAAAATTTTTTTATTTCATCTTTATTCTGATTTGAGATAGAGTCTGGAGTACAGAGGTGCAAACTTGCCTCACAGCAACCTGTGCCTCCTTGGTTCAACTGATTTTTCTGCCTCAGTCTTCCAAGTAGCTGGGATTACTGGCACTTACAATTTTTTTTATGATTTAGTTTTTTAAATATATTTTATTGCACGTTAGGTTCTGGGGTACATGTGTAGAACATGCAGAATTGTTGCATAGGTACATATATGGCAGTGTGGTTTGCTGCTTCCATTCCTGTCTCCTGTATCTGGTATTTCTCCCCATTTTATCCTTCCCCAACTCTCTTCTCCCTGCTTTCCTTCTCCTAGTCCCCACCAACAGACCCCAGTGTGTGATGCTCCCCTCCCTGGGTCCATGTGTTCTTATTGTTCAACACCCACCTATGAGTGAGAACATGCGGTGTTTGATTTTCTGTTCTTGTGTCAGTTTTCTGAGAATGATGGTTTCCAGATTCATCCATGTCCCTACAAAGAACACTAACTCATCACATTTTATGGCTGTATAGTATTCCATGGTGTATATGTGCCATATTTTCCTTGTTCCGTCTATCATCAGTGGGCATTTGGGTTGGTTCAAGGTCTTTGCTATGGTAAACAGTGCTGCAATGAACATATGTGTGCATGTGTCTTTCTAATATTTATAATCCTTTGGAATATATACCCAGTAATGGGATTGCTTGGTCAAATAGAATTTCTATTTCTAGGTCCTTGAGGAATCACCACACAGTCTTCCACAATGGTTGAACTAATTTACACTCCCATCAATAGTGTAAATCCACATCCTCCCCAGCATCTGTTGTCTCCGGATTTTTTAATGATTGCCATTATAACTGGCATGAGGTGGTATCTCAATGTGGTTTTAACTTGCATTTCTCTAATGACCAGTGATGATGAGCATTTTTTCCTATGTTTGTTGGCCTCATATATGTCTTCTTTGGAAAAGTGTCTGTTTATATCCTTTGCCCACTTTTGAATGGGCTTATTTCTTGTAAATTTATTTTAGTTCTTTGTAGATTCTGGATATCAGCCCTTTGTCAGATGGTAGATTGCAAAAATTTTTTCCCATTCTCTTGGTTGCTGGTTCACTCTAATGATTGTTTCTTTTGCTGTGCAGAAGCTCTGGAGTTTAATTAGATCCCATTTGTCTGTTTTGGCTTTTGTTGCCAATGCTTTTGGTGTTTTAGTCATGAAGTCCTTGCCTATGCCTATGTACTGAATAGGCTATTCCTGATGGGGATAGCCTAGGTTTTCTTCTATGGTTTTTAAGGTGCTAGGTCTTATGTTTAAGTCTTTAATCCATCTGGAGTCAATTTTAGTGTAAGGTGTCAGGAAGAGGTCCAGTTTCTGCTTTCTGCACATGGCAACCCACTTTTCCCCACACCATTTATTAAACAAGGAATCCCTTCCCCATTGCTTTTGTCAGGTTTGTCAAAGATCAGATGGTTGTAGATGTGTGATGTTACCTCCGAGGCCTCTGTTCTGTTCCATTGGTCTATATCTCTGTTTTAGTACCAGTAGCATGCTGTTTTGATTACTGTAGCCTTGTAGTATAGTTTGAAGTCAGGTAGTGTGATGCCTTCCACTTTGTTCTTTTTGCTTAGAATTGACTTGGCTATGTGTGCTCTCTTTTGGTTCCATATGAAGTTTAAGGTAGATTTTTCCAGTTCTGTGAAGAAGGTCATTGGTAGCTTGATGGGGATAGCATTGAATCTATAAATTACTTTGGGCAGTATGGCCATTTTCACCATAGTGATTCTTCCTAACCACGAGCATGGAATGTTTCTCCATCTGTTTGTGTCCTCTCTTAATTCGTTGAGCAGTGGTTTGTAGTTCTCCATCAAGAGGTCCTTTACATCCTTTGTTAGTTGTATTCCTAGGTATATTATTCTTTTTGTAGCAAATTGTGAATGTGAGTTCATTCTTGATTTGTCTCTCTTTAAGTCTGTTATTGGTGTATAGGAATGCTTGTGATTGTTGCACATTGATATTGTATCCTGAGACTTTGCTGAAGTTGCTTATCAGTTTCAGAAGATTTTGGGCTGAGAAGATGGGGTCTTCTAAATATACAATCATGTTGTCCGCAAATAGAGACAATTTGACTTCTTCCTTTCCTAATCAAATACCCTTTTTCTTTCCTGATTGCTCTAGCTAGAACTTTCAACACTATATTGAATAGGAGTGGTAAGAGAGGGCATCCTTGTCTAGTGCCAGATTTCAAAGGGAATGCTTCTAGTTTTTGCCCATTCAGTATGATGTTGGTTGTGGATTTGTCATAAATAGCTTTTATTATTTTGAGATACATTCCATCGATACCTAGTTTATTGAGAGTTTTTAGCATAAAGCACTGTTGAATTTTGTTGAAGGTCTTCTCTGCATCTATTGAGATAATCATGTAGTTTTTGTCTTTGGTTCTGTTTATTTGGTAAATTATGTTTATAGACTTTTGTATGTTGAACTAGCCTTGCATCCCCAGGATGAAGTCTACTTGATCATGTTAAGCTTTTTGATGTGCTGTTGCAATTGGTTTGCCAGTATTTTATTGAAGATTTTTGCATCTATGTTCATCATGGTTATTGGCCTGAAGTTTTCTTTTCTTGTTGAGTCTCTGCCAGGTTTTGGTATCAGGATGATGTTGGTCTCATAAAATGATTTGGGAAGGATTCCCTCTTTTTGGATTGTTTGGAATAGTTTCAGAAGGAGTGGTACCAGCTCCTCTTTGTATGTCTGGTACAATTCAGCTGTGAACCCATATGAAACTGGGCTTTTTTTGCTTGGTAGGCTGTTAATTGCTGCCTCACTTCAGCCCTTGTTATTGGTCAATTCAGGGTTTCGACTTCTTCTTGGTTTAGTCTTGGGAGGGTGCAAGTGTCCAGGAATTTATCCATTTCTTCCAGGTTTACTGGTTTATGTGCATAGAGTTGTTTGTTAGTAATCTCTGATGGTAGTTTGTATTTCTGTGGAATCTGTGGTGATATCCCCTTTATCGTTTTTTATTGCATCTATTTGATCCTTCTCTCTTTTCATTAATCTGCCTAGTGGTCTATTTTGTTGATCTTTTCAAAAAACCAGCTCCTGGATTTATTAAATTTTTGAAGGTTTTTTTTGTGTCTCTATCTCCTTCAGTTCTGCTCTGATCTTTGTTATTTCTTGTCTTCTGTTAGGTTTTGAGTTTTTTCATCTTGCTCCTCTAGCTCTTTCGATTTTGATGATAGGGTGTTGATTTTAGATCTTTCCTTGCTTCTCATGTGGGCATTTATTACTATAAATTTTCCTCTAGATAGTGCTTTAAGTGTGTCCCAGAGATTCTGGGATGTTGTTTCTTTGTTCTCGTTGGTTTTGAAGAACATCTTTATTTTTGTCTTCATTTCATTGTTTATCCAGTCAACATTCAAGTTATTCAGTTTCCATGATGTTGTGTGGTTCTGAGTTAGTTTCTGAATCCTGAGTTCTAATTTGATTGCACTGTGGTCTGAGAGACTGTTATGATTTCAGTTGTTTTGCATTTGCTGAGGAGCGCTTTACTTCCAATTATGTGGTCAGTTTTAGAGTAGTTGTGATGTGGTGCTGAGAAGGATGTATATTCTGTGGATTTGGGGTGGAGAATTCTATAAATGTCTGTCAGGTTTGCTTGGTCCAGATCTGAGTTCAAGTCCTGGGTATCTATGTCAATATGAGACAGATCAACGAGACAGAAAATTGACAGTGGAGTGTAAAAGTCTCCCACTATTGTGTGGGAGTCTAAGTCTCTTTGTAGGTCATTTAGAACTTGCTTTCTGTATCTGGGTTCTCCTGTATTGGGTGAGTATATATTTAGGATCATTAGCTCTTGTTGCATTGATCCTTTTACCATTATGTAAAGTCCTCCTTTGTCTCTTTTGATCTTTGTTGGTTTAAAGTCTATTTTATGAGAGACTAGGATTGAAACTCCTGCTTTTCTTTGCTTTATTTTGATTCTTTGTGTGTCCTTGCATGTGAGATGGGTTTCCTGGATATGGCACACCAAAGAGTTTTGACTTTTTATCCAATTTGCCAGTCTGTGTCTTTTGATTGGGGCATTTAGCCTATTTACCTTTAAGGTAAATACTGTTATATGTGAATTTCATCGTGCCATTTTGATACTAGCTCATTGTTTTGCCCATTAGTTTATGCTGTTTCTTCATTGTGTCAGTTCTCTTTACCATTTGGAATGTTTTTGGAGTGAGTAATACCGGTTGTTCCTTTCTATGTTTAGTGCTTCTTTCAGGAGCTCTTATAAGGCAGGCCTGGCGGCTATGAAATCCCCGAGCAATTGCTTGTTCATAAAGGATTTTATTTCTCCTTCGCTTATGAAGCTTTGTTTGGCTGGATATGAAATTCGAGGTTGAGATTACAGAGGTGGGCCACTATTGCCACAGCAGTTCTAACCACACCCATATAAACAGGACTACAGGGAATTACACACAGCAGCAGGGCAGAGCCCTCGGCAGCAGGGCAGAGCCCAGAGCAGCTCAGCATAGCCTCTGCAAGCTGGCAGTGACTAGACTGCCTCCTTGCTGTGTAGGACAGTGCAACACATACTCATAAATAAAGCCCTAACTCCCTGGGACAGAGCACCTGAGGAAAAAAAGGGGCTCTATGAGTTCTGCTGCAGCAGACTTAAATGTACCTGACTAGCAGCCCTGAATGAACAGTGGAGCTCACAGCTCAGCACTTGGGCTCCTATAAAGTACAGACTGTTTCCTCAAGCAGCCCCCTGACCCCCGTATATCCAAAGAGTCACCTCACAGAGGACTGATCAGACTGACATTTGGCAGGCATCATTCTGGGACAAAGATAGCAGAAGAAGAAACTGGTAGCAATCCTCACTGTTCTGCAGCTGCAACAGGTGTTCCCCAGGCAGGCAGGGCCTGGAGTGGACCTCAGCAGTCCTACAGCAGAGGGGCTAGACTGTTAGAAGGAAAACTAAGAAACAGAAATACTACATCATCGACAATCTGGATGTCCACTCAGAGGCCTAATCGGAAAGTCAGCAACTACTCAGACGACAGGTGGATAAATCCAAAAAGATGGGACGAAACCAGCGGAAAAAGGAGGAAAACACCTGAAACCAAAACACCTAGCCTCCTACAAGGGATCAAAACCCCTCACCAGCAAGGGAACAAAGCTGGACGGAGAATGACTGTGACAAAATGACGGAAGTAGACTTCAGAAGGTGGGTAATGAGAAACTTCCGTAAGCTAAAAGAACAGTTTCTTTGCATTGAGTTAGAACGTAAGAACCTTGAAAAAAGATTTGAGAAAATGAGAACAAGAATGGACAACTTAGAGAGGAATATGAGTGAATTGATGGAGATGAAAAACACAACATGAGAACTTTGCGAAGCAGGCACAAGTCTCAACAGCCAAATTGACCAAGCAGAAGAAAGTATATCAGAGGTCGAGGATCAACTCAATGAAATAAAACGAGAAGGCAAGATTAGAGAAAAAAGCACAAAAAGGAATGAACAAAGTCTCTAAGAAATGTGGGACTACGTGAACAGACCTAATCTATGTCTGATAGGTATACCTGAATGTGACAAAGAGAATGAATCCAAGCTGGAAAATACTCTTCAGGATATTATCCAGGAAAATTTCCCCAACCTAGCAAGGCAGGCCAATATTCAAGTCCAGGAAATACAGAGAACACCACAAAGATATTCCGCAAAAACAACCCCAAGGCACATAATTGTCTGATTCACCAGGGTTGAAATGAAGGAGAAAATGCTATGAGCAGCCAGAGAGAAAGGTCGGGTCACCCACAAAGGGGGCCCATCAGACTCACAGATCTCTTGGCAGAAACCCTACAAGCAAGAAGAGAGTGGGGGCCAATATTCAACATTCTTAAAGAAAAGAAATTTCAACCAAGAATTTCATATCCAGCCAAACCAAGCTTCATAAGTGAAGGAAAAATAAAATCCTTTGCAAACAAGCAAGTACTCAGATTTTGTCACCACCAGGCCTGCTTTACAAGAGCTCCAGAAAGAGGCACTACACATAGAAAGGAACAACCAGTACCAGCCATTCCAAAAACATATCGAATGGTAAAGAGCATCAACAAAATGAAAAATCTGCATCAACTAACAGGCAAAACAGCCAGCTAGCATCTAAATGTCAGTATCAAATACACACATAACAATATTAACCCTAAATATAAATGGGCTAAATGCACCAATCGAAAGACACAGACTGGCAAATTGGATAAAAAGCCAAAACCCATCGGTGTGCTGTATCTAGGAAACCCATCTCACATGCAAGGATACACAAAGGATCAAAATAAAGGGATGGAGGAAGATTTACCAAGCAAATGGAGAGCAAACAAAAGCAGGAGTTGCAATTGTCTCTGATAAAATACACTTTAAAGCAACAAAGATCAAAAGAGACAAAGGAGGACATTACAAAATGGTAAAAGGATCAATACAACGAGAAGAGCTAACAATCCTAAATATATATGGACCCAATACAGGAGCACCCAGATATATAAGGCAAGTTCTTAATGACTTACAAAGAGACTTAGACTCCCACACAATAATAGTGGAAGACTTTAACACTCCACTGTTAATATTAGACAGATCAACCAGACAGAAAATTAACAAGGATATCCAGGACTTGAACTCACACCTGGAACAAGCAGACCTGATAGACATTTACAGAACTCTCCACCCCATATCCACAGAATATACATTCTTCTTAGCAGCACATCACACCTACTTGAAAATCGACCACATAATTGGAAGTAAAGCCCTCCTCAGCAAATGCAAAACAACTGAAATCATAAGTCTCTCAGACCACAGTGCAATCAAGTTAGAACTCAGAATTCAGAAATGAATTCAGAACCACACAGCTTCATGGAAACTGAACTCTTGAATGTTGGAATGGAAACTGGCTCTTGAATGTTGACTGGATAAACAATGAAATGAAGGCAGAAATAAAGAAATTCTTTGAAACCAACGAGAACAAAGACACAATATACCAGAATCTCTGGGACGCATTTAAAGTAGTCTCTAGAGGAAAATATATAGTAATAAGTGCCCACATGAGAAGAGTGGATAGATCCAAAATTGACACCCTATTATCAAAATTGAAAGAGCTAGAAGAGCAAGATGAAAAAAACTCAAAACCTAGGAGAAGACAAGAAATAACTAAGATCAGAGCAGAACTGAAGGAAATAGAGACACGAAAAACCCTTCAAAAAAACAAATCCAAGAGCTGTTTTTTTGAAAAGATCAACAACATAGACAGACCACTAGCCAGATTGATAAAAAAGAAAAGAGAATAACCAAATAGATGCAATAAAAAACGATAAAGGGGAAATCACCACTGATTCCACAGAAATTCAAACCATCAGATAATATTACAAACAACTCTATGCACATAAACTAGTAAACCTGGAAGAAATGGATAAATTCCTGGACACTTGTGTCCTTCCAAGCCTAAACCAGGAGGAAGCCGAAACTATGAATAGACCAATAACAAGGTCTGAACTTGAGGCAGCAATTAAGAGCCTACCACACAAAAGAAAGCCCAGGTCTAGATGAGTTCACAGCTGAATTCTACCAGACACACAAAGAGGAACTGTTACCATTCCTTCTGAAACTATTCCAAATAATCAAAAAAGAGGGAATCCTTCCCAAATCATTTTATGAGACCAACATCATTCCTGATACCAAAACCCGGCAGAGACTCAACAAGCAAAGAAAACTTCAGGCCAATATCCATGATGAACATAGATGCAAAAATCTTCAATAAAATACTGGCAAGCCAATTGCAACAGCACATCAAAAAGCTTATCCACCATGATCAAGTAGGATTCATCCCTGGGATGCAAGGCTGGTTCAACATATGCAAGTCTATAAATGTAATTCACTACATAAACAGAACCAAAAACAAAAAACCCATGATTATCTCAATGCAGAGAAGGCCTTTGACGAAATTCACCAGCCCTTTATGCTAAAAACCCTCAACAAACTCAGTATTGATGGAACGTATCACAAAATAATAAAAGCTATTTACGACAAACCAACAGCCAATATCATACTGAATGGGCAAAAACTGGAAGCATTCCCTTTGAAATCTGGCACTAGACAAGGATGGCCTCTCTCACCACTCTTATTCAATATAGTACTGGAAGTTCTAGCCAGAGCAATTAGGCAAGAAAAATAAATAAAGTGTGTTCAAACAGGAAAGGAGGAAGCCACATTGTCTCAATTTGCAGATGACATGATAGTATATCTAGAAGACCCCATTGTCTCAGCCCAAAAACTCATGAAACTGATAAGCAACTTCAGCAAAGTCTCAGGATACAATATCAATGTGCAAAAATGACAAGCATTCCTATACACCAATAACAGACTTAAAGAGAGCCAAATCAAGAATGAACTGCCATTCACAATTGCTACAAAAAGAATAAAATACCGTAGGAATACAACTTACAAGGATCATAAGGGACCTCTTCAAGGACAACTACAAACCACTGCTCAACAAAATAAGAGAAGACACAAACAGATGGAGAAATATTCCATGTTCATGGTTAGGAGGAATCAATATCGTGAAAATGGCTATACTGCACAAAGGAATTTATAGATGCAACACTATCCCCATCAAGCTACCAATGACCTTCTTCACAGAACTGGAAAAAACTACCTTAAACTTTGTATGGAACCAAAAGAGAGCCCACATAACCAAGTCAATTCTAAGTAAAAAACATAGCAGGAGGCATCACACTACCGGACTTCAAACTATACTACAAGGCAACAGTAATCAAAGCAGCATGGTACTGGTACCAAAACAGATATAGACCAATGGAACAGAACAGAGGCCCTGGAGGCAACACAACGTATCTACAACCATACAATCTTTGATAAACCTGACAAAATCAAGCAATGGGGGAAGGATTCCCTGTTTAATAAATGGTGTTGGGAAAACTGGCTAGCCATGTGCAGAAAGCAGAAACTGGACCCCTTCCTGATACCTTACACTAAAATTAACTCCAGATGGATTAAAGACTTAAACATAAGACCTGGCACCATAAAAACCCTAGAAGAAAATCTAGGCAAAACCATTCAGGACATAGGAGTAGGCAAGAACTTCATGACCAAAACACCAAAAGCATTGGCAACAAAAGCCAAAATAGACAAATGGGACCTAATCAAACTCCACAGCTTCTGCACAGCAAAAGGAACAGTCATTAGAGTGAATCGGCAACCAACAGAATGGGAAAAAATTTTTGCAGTTTGCCCATCTGACAAAGAACTTATATCCAGAATTTACAAAGAAGTAAAACAGATTTACAAGAAAAAAACAAGCCCATTCAAAAATGGGCAAAGGATATGAACAGACACTTCACAAAAGAAGACATACATGAGGCCAACAAACATGAAAAAATGCTCATCATCACTGGTCATTAGAGAAATGCAAATCAAAACTACATTGAGATACCATCTCACGCCATTTAGAATGGCGATCATTAAAAAATCCAGAGACAACAGATGCTGGAGAGAATGTGGAGAAATAGCAACACTTTTACACTACTGGTGGGTGTGTAAATTAGTTCAACCATTGTGTGGAATACAGTGTGGTGATTCCTCAAGGACCTAGAAATAGAAATTCCATTTGACCCAGCAATCCCATTACTGGATATATATCCAAAGGACTATAAATCGTTCTACTATAAGGACACATGCACACGAATGTTCATTGCAGCACTGTTTACAATAGCAAAGACCTGGAATCAACCCAAATGCCCATCTATGATAGACTGAACAGGGAAAATGTGGCACATATACACCATGGAATATCATGCAGTAATCAAAAATGATGAGTTTGTGTCCTTTGTAGGGACATGGATGAATCTGGAGAACATCATTCTCAGCAAACTGACACAAGAACAGAAAATGAAATACCACATGTTCTCACTAATAGGCGGGTGTTGAACAATGAGAACATATGAACACAGGGAGGGGAGCACTACACTCTGGGGTCTATTCAGGGGGAATGGGGAGGGACAGTGGGGTGGAGCTGGGGAGGGATAGCATGGGGAGAAATGCCAGATGTGGGTGAAGGGGAGGAAGGCAGCAAGTCACACTGCCACGTGTGTACCTATGCAACTATCTTGCATGTTCTGCACATGTACTCCAAAACCTAAAATGCAATATAAAAAAAATTCAAGGTTGAAAGTTGTTTTAAGGATATTGAATATGGGCACCCACTCTCTTCTGGCTTGTAGGGTTTCTGCTGAGAGATCTGCTTCGAGTCTGATGGTCTTCCTTTTGTGGGTAACTCGACTTTTCTCTCTGGCTGCCCTCAGCATTTTTTCTTTCATTTCAACCCTGATGAATCTGACAATTATGTGCCTTGGTGTTGCTCTTCTTGTGGAATATCTTTGTGGTGTTCTCTGTATTTTCTGGACTTGAATGTTGGCCTGCCTTGCTCGGTTGGGGAAGTTTTCCTGGATAATATACTGAAGAGTGTTTTCCAGCTTGGATTCATTCTCTGTCACATTCATGTACACCTATCAAAGGTAGATCAGGTCTTTTCACATAAATCCATATTTCTTGGAGGCTTTGTTCATTTCTTTTTACTTTTTTCTCTAATCTTGCCTTCTCATTTTATTTCATTGTGTTGGTCTTGAATCTCTGATATCCTTTCTTCTGCTTGGTTAATTTGGCTGTTTTGTGTATACTTCTCAAAGTTCTCCTGTTGTGTTTTTCAGCTCCATAAATTTATTTAGGTTATTCTCTAAGTTGTTTATTCTCAGTAGCATTTCATCAAACCTTTTTTCAACATTTTTAGTTTCTTTGCATTGGGTTAGAACATGTTCTTTTACTTAGAGAAATTTGTTATTACCCACTTTCTGAAGCCTGTTTCTGTCAGTTCATCAGACTCAATGTCCATTCAACCTTGTTCCCTTGCTGGTGAGGAGTTGTGATCCCTTGGAGGAGGAGAGGCATTCTGGTTTTGGGTGTTTCATCCTTTTTGCACTGGTTTCTTCACATCTTTGTGGATTTATCTATGTGTGGTCTTTGTAGTTGGTGACTTTTGGTTGGGGTCTCTAAGTGGACATCCTTTGTGTTGCTGATGAAGTTATTTCTGTTTTTTAGTTTTCCTTCTAACAGTCAAGCCCCTTTGCTTTAGGACTGCTGGAGGTCTACTCCAGACCTTGCTTGCCTGGGGATCACCTGCAGTGGGTGCGGAACAGTAAGGGTTGTTGCCATTTTCTTCTTCTGTTATCTTTGTCCCTGAAGGAGACCCACCAGATGTCAGCCTGAGCTCTTTATGAGGTGTCTGTTTGGATATAGGGGGGTCGGCAAGCTGCTTGAGGAGATGGTCTGTCCCTTATAGGAGCTCAAGTGCTGAGCTGTGAGCTCTGTTGTTCCGTTTAGAGCTGCTGGGCAGGTATGTTTAAGTCTACTACAGTGAAACTCGTAACTGCCTTTTTTTCCCTGGTGCTCTGTCCTGGGAAGTTGGAGCTTTATTTATAAGCTCCTGAGGTGCTGCTGCCTTTTTTCAGAGATGCCCTGTCCAGTGAGGACATAGCCTAGTCACAGTCTGCCAGCAGAGGCGTTTCTGAGCTGTCATGGGCTCTGCCCAGCTGCTGTGTGAACTTCCTTGTGGTTTTGTTTGTAGAGGTGTGGTTAAAACTTTTTGGTATTGGCAAACGCCCTTCCCCCCCGACAGAGCTGGACTGTCCTGAGTTCAGCTGTGCTTACTGTGAAACTCTCAATCCAGAGCATTTCAGAGTGCTGGTCTTTGTGGGGTGGGACCCACCAAGCCAGATCACCTGGCTCCTTGTTTCAGCCTTTATTTCAGTTGAATGGGCAGCTCTGTCTTCCAGGTGTTCCAGGTGCCAGTTGAAATGGTGCCCTGATTTGTATGAGTTTTTGTGTGGAGACCTGCTGTTTTGGCCAAAACAGCCATGCTGGAGGCTCATGGTGCTTTTCTTCCTGGAATGTCCTGGCATATGTGCAGTAAAAACTTGTTCGGAAATGCGATGATCACTCACCCTCTGCATTCTTGCTGGGAACTGCACTCCAGAGCTGTTCCTATTTGGCCATCTTGGATCTTCCCTCCTAATCTTTTGGTGGTTGTTGTTAGACACAGGGTTTGGCTCTGTTGGCCAGGCTGGTCTCAAACTCCTGACCGCCAGTGATCTGCCTGTGTTGATCTCCCAAAGTCCTGGAATTACAGGCATGAGGTTCTTTTAAATTTTTAAATTTTGTTTAATATTTAAATGTTAATCTATTTACTTATTTATTTTGAGAGCATGTTTTGAGACTGGCTTATTTTTGTATTTTTGGTAGCATCAAGTTTTTGCAATGTTGCCAAGGCTGGTCTCAAACTCCTGGGCTCAAGCAATCCACCCACCTTGGCCTCCAAAAGTTCTGGGATTACAGGAGTAAGCCACTATGCCTGGCCAGTTCTTACTGATATTGAATGGCTATTATTTCCAGTGGAGGACTTCCTCTGTCCTGAAGGAAACAAAGGGCTTGCTGAAAGATGAGATTATGTTTATGAATGCTTATTAGTGGAAGTATTTCTGTACATTCAACCTAGATATACTTTTTTATATTCAAAGGAATATCTTAGAGTATTATATGAACACATAAGAATTTAAGAAAATAGTAGTGATTATCTTAAATCACACTCCTTTAGTTCATCCACAATTTTATTCAATCCCCACAAACTCCTAGTGAGGAAACAGGGGCTCAGAATGGCTAAGTGTCTTACTCAAGGTTACTTACACTCCCCTTCTTAATGATTTAACCCAAGAGAGTCCATAGCAAAGGGTGGTATGTAACTTATCTAGAGCCATGTTGCCATACTTTATGAACTTAAGAATCACTTGGAGAGCTTAATAATCTAGACTCTTCTCCTAGGATCTCACTCAACAGGTAGAGTGAGAACCTTGTATCTATCTGTGTTTTCAGCAAGAACCTAGTATAATTGGGATGCATGTGTCCCACAGGAAGCCCTGCTGTAAAGGGATGTAACCCTATGAGGGTAAGGGCAGGAAAAGGCATAGAAGCCCACAAGGCTCTTCCACTCCAGTACTTGCCCAAAGACATGTAGATCCAAGATCACTTTCTGTAGGCAGAGCTGTGCAGGGTCCCTGACACCATGGCTGAACTTCTTCCTATGGCTTTTCTTGCTTTGGCTATCTTGGGCTAGTCTGCCCCATCATCCTGGCTGGTGTCTAGCAGCCTGACACTCACATTGAAATTTTGGAGAGGTCGTGGGTGAAACCTGCTGGATTGGAGCATGGGTATTAACCATGTAATTTGCTTTTCTTCACTGTTTTTTTAAGTGCTACTAATGGAAAGACATGATCACTTTTTGTTTGTTTTTATGAATGGTGGTGTAGATTCTCCCTGGTATGAAAGTTAGACTTGAGCTTTTCCTCACGTATCCCAAATTCTTTGAAATGGAAGAAAAGGACCCCTCACATAGCATGGTCTTATATTCTGCAGAAGTGGCTACCTGCATGTGTGTGTCTTTTCCATTATTCTTCCATAGCTTGAAAGGACTAAAAATAGGGCATTCAGTGAGGATTGCCTCTGTAGATTAGGAAGAGGGGAAGGGCCTGGGGAAAAGTATAGAGGGAGATTTTTATTAAAATAGCACATCTATGCTATGGCACTAGTGGTTTTAAGTTGGAGAGTAGCTAAAAACACCTTCCTTTTTCCTACTCTTTTTCCTTTTCAAAAGAAAAAGCCAGATGCACAAAGAGAATGCCTATGTGTAAAAAGACAAGCATGTTTAACCAATAGGTCCTGATGGGTGAGGGCTGCTTACTCAGTGTGCCAGGGACCAAATGTTTCCTGCTGTAGCAACTTTGCTTGAGGCAAGAATTTGATACTTCAAACTCTGTATTCAGTATTATTGAGAAGCTCAGCTTGAGCAATTTTTTTCCAGTTTTAGGGCACTTTGAGAAATTAATTTCCAAGAGATCTTTTTGATAAGAAGCTTTTTTGTTTTATCCAAGATTCTAAAATATGACCCTATCCCTGTCTTCTTATATTGGATTACCAAAAGGCAAACAAAAGGCTGATTTTACCTGCAGTAAATCTGCCTCATCAATAAAGCTACAAAGAGGTTTGGGATTTTCCTTTTCTTTTTGCCACCCATCTCTTAAAAGCATGAGTAATGATCACATAGAGCAAATAAAAACCTGCATTGAGAATCAAAGAGGGCTTTCAATTCTCTAGCACTGATAGTAATGAAGTTGTTCGATTATTTTAAATCTTACAAATCTAGGAGTAGAAATTTCAAGATATTTTTTCAAAGATATACAAATAAAGATATTTTCATTGGAAATGCCAGTTTTTGGTTTCAAACTTCATTTTCCTATACCCATTCCCAAAAGTTAGCAAAGGTATTCCATAGTTATAGGGAAAGGAATCTTTGAGATTAATTCAGTAATTCCACAAATACTAAGCATCTTATGTTAGTTCCAGACACAATTTTATACACTGGAAATACATTGCTTGAATACAAGGTTGTTGCTTTCACAGATGGAGCTTTCTGGTAGGTAGAGAGAAACACAAAACAAACAAGAAAGCTTTAGGTAACAAGATCCTCTGTTACATAAAAAACAGCACTGCTTTAGATTGGGTGGTCATAAAGCAGACCTTATGAGCAGATGACATTCAAGTTAAAACCTAGATGGCAAGCAATGGCCATGATGATCTAGGGAAAGAGTAGTAGGCCAAGGGAACAGCTGGTACGATCATCCCAGAACCAGCTGGTGAGTTCCTGGAGCAGACGTGGGTAGGGTTGGGGAGCATCAGAGATGAGATTGGAGAGAGGCAGAGGCTGGATTATGGAGCCTGTCAGTTTATGGTAAGGCACAGTGGAAATAAGTTATAGGACTTTACACAGAGGCATGTTTGTTTTAATTTGCATTTTAAGAAATCAGTCTTGTTGCTTTATGGAAAATGGCTTATGGGGGATGAGCAGCAAGAATAGAATAAAGTGGTCCTTAGGGAGGCAGTTGGGACATTGTAGAGGTAGATAGAAGTGGGCAGACTTCTTGTGTATCACAAGGCAGAGGATCTTTGCTCTACCATGTGGAAGATTTGCTTTGTGGTCTCCAAAATTGGAAGGAGTCTCAACACTCTTCCAAATTTTATAGAAGGGATTATACTGGGAGATCTCAGAACTCCACCTCATAATCTATCCCCATAATGAAAGAACAAGACTGCACTGTGTAAATTACCAGGTGTCCTTGGTGGTGCAGGGCAAAGGCTGTAGGCAGGTACCACAGCCTTCCTGGGAGTCAGCACTCATGAGTAGCTGCAGTGGTTGGCAAGAGAAGTAAATGGCAGTGGTGTGATGTGGATGCTTTTCTCCTCCCACCCTGAGAAACCCACCTGATTAAACATTTCCTTATCTGGCCTTGTCTGTTTACAGGGCTCATCAATGTCCCTTTCACGATCCAACAGTCGCGAGCACTTGGGAAGTGGAAGCGAATCTGATAACTGGAGAGACCGAAATGGAATTGGACCCACAAGTCATAGTGACTTTGCAGCTTCTATTGGCAGCCCTAAGCGTAAACAAAACAAATCAAGTGAGCTTTGTGTTTTATTCACACTTTTTGGTATACCCAGTTTAGAATGTATTTGAGTTGGAGTATCACTGTGGCCTCTCTGACTTCAAGTGCTTGGTGTAATTCACATGCCATCTCATTTGTGAAGACGTCCTCGTTTCTCCCAGTGAAGCAGACCACCAGAAGCAGGCCACCTGGTTCTCTCCTTTCACTGCATTTTGTGCATGCTTTCACTCTAGCACTTGCCATACCAAAGGGTAATTATTTATCTACGTATCTGTATCTCTTTGTGGAATTTGTGCTCCACCAGCCAAAGACCATATTCATTCATTTTATAAACATTTATGAAGTGCCCACATGTCAGGCATTCTGTTCTGTTCTGCCTTATTGGTTACCTCTTCCCTAATACCTGGTGGACTGTCTGACACTTTGTAGTAGGTGCTCAGTAAAAATTTGTGAAAGGAATGCATGAATGTGTAATGCACACACATCCATCCAGGTGATAACGAAAAGACAAGGATGTAAGAAAGTTGAGAAGCCAGGCATGGCAGCTCTCGCCTGTAATCCCAGCACGTGGCGAGGCGAAGGTGAGATGATAGCTTGAGCTCAGGGGTTTAAGACCAGTCTGGGCAACGCAGTGAAATTTCATCTCTACTAAAACAACAACAACAAAACCTGGGAGTGGTGGTGTGCATGTGCCTGTAGTCCTAGCTACATGGGAGGCTGAGGTGGGAGTATTGCTTGAGCCCAAGAGTTTGAGGCTGCAGTGAGCAATAATTGAGCCACTGCACTACAGCCTGGGTGACAGAATGAGACCCTGTCTCAAAATTAAAAAAAGTGGTTGAGAAAAATGATTCAATTAGCATCTTAAACCATTGAAGAAAGAGTGCCTAGTGGGTGGCTACTAAAGGTGAACAGCAGGGTTTGAATTTGTAAATGGATGTTGCTGAATTAGCATAAACAGGAAAAAAAAATTACGGAATCGGGGCTCTGGCTTTTAGCAAATCTGACTGTAACTCAGCATGAGCCCATTGTTTTATCTACATCAGCACCCATACTCCTGGACTGTATAAACAGAGGAGAGCTGACACTGTCATCACAAGCTATGCCCCAATACCTTTTTGCAGGGGTTTTGACAAATCTGGAATCCTGAAACACGTAGAGTATTTGAAGACTCCTTGAAGAAAGGCAGTCCAGCTGAGCCTGGTAGACACTCAGTTGTTATGTTACTATCGATCATGTCCGGCTGTGTTGTCAGGAGTCTCAGATTTGAAAGAAGTAAGCAATCAGGAATCAGGTTGTTGGCCAAGTCTAAATAAGAAAGCACGGTCAACTCTCTCATCCCTAAATGCACTGTCAATAGTAGCCTGGAGACTTTCTATTAGTTAGTGGCTGGATGCTCCACCACTGACAGTATGATCGAGCTGAGTCAGGCTGGTGCCAGGCACAGATGGAGGGGTGTAAATGATGCCCAGTCTCTAGCCCAAGATACATTCATTTGGTGCTTCTCTTTATCTCCTGTCCCTTCATTTAACATTGGATAATTAAATTGACTGTACCAGTTTGAACTGATGTTCAGGATTAAGACGGAGGATACATTAATAAAAAGAAATGATTAATGAAGAACAGTCATTTGGGTTTCATCAGTTTTTTAGGGTGTAGGGAGTTTAAGAGACTGTAGAAACTACAAGTAGTTAAGAACAAAAACACTAAGTAAAAGTAAGTTATAGGCGATTTTGAACATTTATCACTATGAACATTTTATTTTTAAGCACTTGTTTTTAAAAATTTTACTAATTTATTTAACCCAACATATGTTAAGATTCCTTTTAAATGTGTAATCAATATAAATATTGAGATCGCTTACATTCTTTCTTAGGTTGTACAAAGTCTTTAAAATCTGCAGTGTTTTTTGTACTTACAAAGCGTTTTCATTCCCATTAGCCTCATTTCAGGTGCTCAGTAGACATATGTGGCCAATGGCTACTGTATTGACAGCACAGTTGTAGATAATTTCTCTTAACACCCTTATCAAGATCACCAATGTGTTCCATTTTCCCTGGGCGTCCCTATTTATACCAGTTGCTGCAGCATAATTCTTAGTAACTCTTTTACTCTCAAAAAAATAAAAAGTAAATGTATCATTTGAACTATAAATTGTATGGGCAGCCTTATAGCCACTTTCATGTTGTCACATCCAATGGTCACTCACCGCAATTTGCTTATTGCCATCCGCTTTGTGTCACCTTTGACCTGGTACCTCAATAATCACTCCTCCTCAAAATGTTTTTATGACTTTGGGGCCTCTGCTTCACCTGTAAATGGTGGAGTGTCCCAAGGCTCAGTATCTTGGGGTTTGGTTTTGGGTCCTTTCTCTACACATTTCACCCCAAGAGATAAACAGCTATCTTTATGAAAAAAAGAAACCTTATCAGGAAATGCCTTCTGCTTGAGGATCATAAAGGACATCTCAATTGGGAGATGAAAACAACTGGAGAAAGCAATCAGTGGCACCCAAAACAGTGCAGAACAAGATTTCTAGGTTTGGCAGATGCACGGATCTCCAGAGTAGACTAGATGGATCTGATTGGCTTTGGTCAGTGTCGTCCTCCTTTACCTCTTTGGGAGTCTCTCCTGAAGCCACATCTTTAGTGTAAGAAGACAGATTTCCCACACAGGCAAGAGCTCTGGTCTGGGAGGTAGAATGCCTGCACTCTGCTAAAATTTCCATGGCACTGTGTGTGTGTGTGTGTGTGTGTGTGTGTGTGTGTGTGTGTGACTTACTTGGCATGGTTCGATAGTCCATCACCCAGCCCTGCTTTTCACTGGGTCTGTGAGCCACAGTATGTGGATACCTTTGCCCACCAAAGCAGTTGCAGAACCAAGGCAAAATTCAGCATTGCCATCTTCAAAGGTTTCCCAAGAGACAGATTTATTTTTGTCATAAATTAAATCCAGGAACCCCAGCATCATTCCTATCAGTTGATACATTACTCTTAATTTTGGAAGTGTGCTGTTTTGTGACCTTGCTACCCAATTATATTTTTCTACAGAACAGGATTTATGTGTTGCAATGTCATACAATTCCTTTCACCAAAGGAAAACGCAGCTGTAGATACACAGAGCCACCCTGCCATCCAAAAGGGGCCTGGACTTGTAATAACTTTCTACAACTTTATTTTGTCCCAGGGATCCTTTTTCCAGCTCCTCATTTAATTCACATCAAATCAATTATAAACAACAAATGCTTCTGACTACTCAGGGAGAATATGATGAATGATTATTAACTACAGAGGCACTGTTGCTGAATTTCTGCCTCCCAAGTGGAGCCTTTTAAATGGCAAGAGCCTTGCTGAAAGCAATAACCAGTATTTCCTTAATGAAAAGCCAATATTTCAGTAAAGGATTGCTGTATTTCTACAGCTACTGCTCTATTCAGCTGAGCAATGAAATTTGAAATATTTAGGTGATTAAAACTTTTCATTAAACCGTGTTCTCTCTGGGCATTTACACTTCAAGCCTGTCTCTCCTTTGCCTTTCAGCGGAACACTATCTCAGCAGTAGCAATTACATGGACTGCATTTCCTCGCTGACAGGAAGCAATGGCTGTAACCTAAATAGCTCTTTCAAAGGCTCTGACCTCCCTGAGCTCTTCAGCAAACTGGGCCTGGGCAAATACACAGATGTCTTCCAGCAACAAGAGGTCAGTCATCATTTATTTTCCCAGGTATCTTTGCTTTGGTTGTGTGTATGTTGACTTCTAGAATGAAGTCACTTATTGACCCATGAGTATGCTTTCACTGAGCATTTATTCAAGTCTCATAGCTTGCTCTTGCTACTAAGAAAAATGTCATCTCATTTCTTATTTAATGCAGCTAGTAAACACAGGATAGCAGAAATAGAGAAAATCATACTTTCAAAAAATGTATACTAGCTAACAGTTTTAGCAATAAAACCCGATTGATATATTGATTCATAGGAATTTTTGTAGTCACAGCTCCCTTAAGGTCAGCAACAAGTCTGTATTTAACATGATTTCATTTTTGAATCTGTTACTTTTAAGTGCCACAAATAAAGATAAGTAACAGCATCTGAAATATCTCTGGCTATTTTTGACTCAGCCTGCTCATACTGAAGTCTGTTCTCACAGAATATGTTTTTTTCAACATGTTAATTTATTCATTAACTAACCATTTGGGTTTTACCTAAACTGAGACAGAACTGCGATATCTTCTGAACAATCACAACCATGGATTTTGGTCAAACTGATTAGCCATATCCTATTATGTACTGGTATAATGGAAAGAGGCCTTGGGCATGATTCTTCTTAACAGCACTCATACTGCTGGGGCACAGCTAGCCCAAAGTGTCAGAAAATTAAAATGGTTCTATACATTTGTATCTTTGTCAAATCAAGACATGGTCCACGTTTGATACTACTTGGCTTATTTTAATACTAGAGAACATCTGATTTAGTCAGTAATTTCTAGGCATGTATCAGTTAATAAAGAATCTATGGTTTTATTAGGTACTTTGTATCATAAATTCAATGTACTGCCCATGGTCCAATAAATTATTAACCTTAAATGCTGAGAATTTTTGTTTTTTACCCTGAAAGAGCAATTGTAGTGTATATTAAATTTCAGGACATTGATTTTTTTGTTTCTCCTATGTCTGAGTTAGTGTTCCCTTAACCTCTCCTACATCTGAGTTAGTTCATTTAGCCAAGAATTTTCTAAGATGAATAAACCCTTCATAATCAGTGCACTAAAGAATATATCTATTTAGTCTTGCTGGTTAGATGAGGATAGCTGATTGGGAAGCTAAAAAGCAGAAGTATTTTAACATGTCCAGGCACAGAAGGTTAAAAAGCAAGAGATTGAATATTATTCAATGATATTCTGGGTTTTCATCTATTTCCTATTTGAAGAAGCATATTAAATTATAGGTATTTCTTATTCCAATTACACCAAGAAGGAAGACAACAAGAAAGTATAAAGCCAGAGGGACTTAATTTAAGATTTTATAAACTACAGCAGGAATCAGCAAACTGGTCTGCAGGCCCACTGCCTGATTTTGTAAATAAAGTTTTATTGGAACACTGCCATATTAATTTGTTTACATGTTGTATAAGGCTTTCTTCCAGCTACAACAGCAAAATTAAATAACAGCAACAGTGACAATATGGCCCACAAAGTCCAAAATATTTAACATCTGGTCCTTTAAGAGAAAGCTAGGGAACACTTGAGCTGAAGAGTCTGTTATGGAATTTCTGAAAACATCTTTAGAACTGTGATAAATGATGGTCTAGGGTTTTCTAAGATCACATCAAAACAGGACAATTTAAATTATCTTCAATATCATTTAATAAAAAGTTTTATCTGTTTGTGGTGTGTTGAAATTTGGTAATCTGCTTCTTTCATGTATGATATTTTCTAATACTCAGATGTGATTTAACAAGATTCCCCCATTACGTAACGTCATGAGATTTAATTTATTGTAAGCATGTTGAGGATTCATTTATCAACTTTCACAGATGATGTATCAACATGCATTATTATTAACCATAGCTGCCAATTAGCCTCTTTGGTAAGCCCAGTGCTTTATATCTGTAGTTATAGTGAATGCTCACAACAGTTCTGCAAGATATAGTATTGTCCACCCTCTCTGTGCCCATAGCTAGTAATGGCACAGTTGGGGTCTGAACCTAAGTCTCTTTGGCTTCAGAATCCATTGTCTTTCTCTTCTTCCACACTATCTTTAAAGGAAGGGTGGGGAATCCTTGGGCAGTTTACCTTCATATTTTGTTTCTGATGCCAGAGAGTACAGTTTTATACTTTCTGCAAATACTTCTTTTGTATCCCTTTCTGTGATAGTTTGCTGGGTTGAGCCAAGTGAACTGCAGGTCTGATTGTGTCTGGGAATTCTTCTTTCAATCCTATGTAGGACACAAAGAAAGATACCATCTGTTATTTAGTTTCTTCTTATAAAGATACAGTTAACCAATTCAAAATCCTAAGACATATTTTTTCTTTCCTGAACAGATAATGTTCTTCCTTTTATCAGTTCACAAAAATGATACAATCTTTTTATTTTCTTCTTTGCTGTAGTTTCTAGGATGTTCATAGCTAAGTTTTCTGCTAGAATTATCACTTCTATTTCACCATCTTTCTTAATTCTTGTTTCTTAGGTTTGTGCTACTACGTTTCTTTTATGGAAGTAGGCAGAGCATAATTAATAAGTAAGTGTGGTAACAAGTTGATCCTACAGTGAGAAAGAAACTAAGTGATATATTGGTTATAGATTGACCTTTCTACCCACAGATCGATCTTCAGACATTCCTCACTCTCACAGATCAGGATCTGAAGGAGCTGGGAATAACAACTTTTGGTGCCAGGAGGAAAATGCTGCTTGCAATTTCAGGTGAATATAAATATTCAACTTATACATTAAAATCTGAATAATCTCTGCCAGTGGTCTCAGCCACTGGGTTGGTTCTACCCAGTAACCACTGGCTTACTAATCTGACACCTTGGTGGTTGTGGTTTTAGAGGGTTTTCTTGTCAACAGTGTGACAAATGCTGAGAATATCTTACTTTTTCATCAAGGCATTGCTTGAAAACCTGCCTTAACAAGGGTCGTATCTGAAAACAGATCTCTTCAGAAAGATCTAACCAAAATCACCCTATGCAGAACATGAAAATGGGGGGAAACTCCTCTTTGCAGTTGTGTTAAACAGTAATCATTGTATTAGTGAATAATCATTCTTGATTGGCAGTTATGTTTCAAATATGTGTGTCCTTGCACACTGACCAAGATCATTGCACTGAAAAGAAAAGAATGCTGGTTGCAATAGTGTGGAATCTGGCAGTGTTACTTGTCTTAATCTTCTTAGTTTCCCACTGTTTTAGTAAAATTTATGAGTCACAGGACATAGTATCCTGAAGATAGTCACAGGATGAAGGAAAATAATGTCTACCTCCCTAGTCTACTTTCTTTTTGCCTCTGTTGCATGTATGTTTTAGAAAATGCTCTATACATATTTATTGGGTGCCACTCCTTTGAAAGGAATTGAGCCAGATGATGAGTCAGGAGTTGGCAAATACATAGTAATGAACCTCAAAAAAGTGTTTAGAGAAATATGCAGAAATTCGAAGGAGGGAATGGGATTAATTTTTGAAGACTTTCTAATAAAGTTCTTGAATGTCAAATTTATATATGTCCCAGTCTCAGAAAGATAGACACCAAGGGCAGAAGCCAAGTGTTACGTGCTGTGGAAAAAATGAATGCTTCTTCAGAACACTGAATTTGCAAGCTGTGCCTCAGTGAAGCCAATAGTTGCATCCAACTGGTGAAAGTTCATTGCAGACAGCATTCACTAATCAGATCAGCAGAAAAAATGTAAAACCTCAGTGGTTTTCCATTTTATCAGCATGTTGCATGTCCCACCCGTCTTCCCATAGGAAATCTTTATCTGAAGCAGACATAGGCACAGCATCTTTGAAATAGGAGTGGAAATTCAGCCATTGAGCTTCCTGGTGGCAGTCTATTAGGTTCTTCTATGGATAGAGTTCTACACTCATCAATTTTACCAGAACTTTTAAAATTTCTTCTTGGATATACTGTGTTTACCCAAGAGGCTCTATTAATGGAACTCCACAGGGAAGATGTGTAATTCCTGCTCGTAAGATTATCTTGGTATAGTGAAAAGAACACTGGATTCAATAGGAGATCTGGGCCTTACTTCTGCTAAGTCCTGAGTCCTTGAGTGAGTTGCCAAACCTCTTTTGGCTTTGGTTTATTAATCATGAAGGTGGATTGGAATACATGATTGTACAAAGGTCACCTTCTATTTCTAAGATCTATCCTTTCATGTGATATCATCAGGCTTAGTGAAAATGAACAAAACTCTAATTTTATTACTTGTTCTTTCTTTTTTACCATCTATGATAGTAATTTAAAAAATGTATTTGTTTTCCCAAAAGCTCAGCCTCAGGGGGCTATTCCTAGACTCAAGCTAACTTTCTAAGTTTTCATATTCTTTTATTAATTTTCAAATGAAATTTGCAAAAATACTGTTTAAAATGTGATTAACCTGTGTATTCACCATACCTATACTGTTGAAATATGCCTACGGGCCAGCAATTTTATACCAGGGCAGGGTATCGTCCAGAGCTCCATGATGTTTCACTAGAGATTCATGGAATGGCAGTGGGGATATACTGAAAACTAGTTCCTTTTTAGGTGTCCCAACCCAGTTCCTAATTCTGTAAAGCTTTTAGCAATAAGCAGATAGCTGTAAATACATTCATGGACATAGATATATTCCAGAGTAAAGGTACTGATGATCTATCAGGATCCTTTGTGTGAGAGGTTAGATGGGAATAAGAAGGGTTTCAGGTTCTCTATTTACATATATATATATATATGTTTTCTTTTTTTTGAGACGGAATTTCGCTCTTGTTACCCAAGCTGGAGTGCAATGGTGCGATCTCAGCTCACCGCAACCTCCGCATCCTGGGTTCAGGCAATTCTCCTGCCTCAGCCTCCGGAGTAGCTGGGATTACAGGCATGCGCCACAGTGCCCAGCTAATTTTTTGTATTTTTAGTAGAGACAGGGTTTCACCATATTGACCAGGATGGTCTCGATCTCTTGACCTTGTGATCCACCCACCTTGGCCTCCCAAAGTGCTGGGATTATAGGCTTGAGCCACTGCGCCTGGCCGTTTTCTAATCATTGTCTTCTTTGTCGTTCTACTGAGGCTGTATACTACTTCTGCAGACTTCCTCTCTCTATGGGGTTCACCAGGTCCTCTTGCTTTTTAAAGGGAGTTTGAGACTTTGACTAAGATGCCTTATGGGTGCTCTGCACAGCGTAAAGGACTTAAGAATAATTTTATCTTTGTTGAGTGCATTTGTTTGAACCTGGTAAATTTTCTCTGAAAGCAATACATTTTTATTGAGAAAATTCTTCATCAAAAAGCTGCTTTCTCCAATTCAACTTATCTGATAACAGAGATATCCATTTATAGTCCCAGAACATTCTGTCTCCCTATAGATGGATGCAGTATAGCTGAGCAGTCTTGACTCACATTTGTCTTATGGTTACAAATTGGTTAGATACAGAGTTTGCTCATCCTTTTTAAATTTTGTAGATTTTTAACTTATAATCTGAGTTATTCTTTTAGTATAAGGTTTTGTTTTACTTTTAATCTCGGGCCAAAATATATTTATTTTAATGTTATAGCAGTAGATGAAATTTATCTCTAATGGAAATGGATCAAAGTGTAAATTTGATCCCTTTTTCCCCAAATCCACTTTTCTGGGGGGAAAATTCACAGATTTCTCACAGATTCGCTGTGTGTTGGTTAAATATACAGGGACTCAGTGAAAGGATGTTTAGCATCCTGTTGACAGGCTTCCCACCACGGCCTCAGGTAGATCTAACATTTCCCGACCTATTCTTTTAGTTTGTGACTCTGTTCAGATCCGCAACAAGATCCTGAGAGCTGCCAGGATTGTGTGAACCTTGGAATTTCAAAGAAAAAGGTTGGTATTTTCCCAAACCATCCCTTAGGCTTGCTGAAATATTAGAGGAGTTTTTTTTTTTAATGATAAAGCAAACAAAAATTCTAAAATCTCTTCAGTAGGACTTGACCTTGATAACCTCACTGGAAGATTTATCTCTGTGCATCACATTTTAAAACATACATATGTATTGTCTTAGAAACTGTATTGGTTAGGATTGGCTTCCCTTGTGATCATTGCACCGTTTCAAAGATCTAGCTCATGTGTGTTTTTCAGGATAAAGTTTTTAACATTTATTTTGAAAAACTGTTTTAATGGCCCAGTTGTTGTCATGTCTCAGTTATACATGTTATATGTGTGCTAAGGGAGAATGTTGTTTGGCCCCATTCTTTCTTTGCGTAAAATGTCCGTCATGTCCAAATGTCCACCAAGGGAATTGTATATTATTCCCCTGTGAGAAAATGGAGGCTGAAGATTGTCCCTAGCTTGAAGATGATAAAACTTTTCCAGGCTGTGTACTTAAGGGGATTCATTTATTCTTAATGTTTCTATAAGTTTAAATATATTCAATTCTGTCTTGATTTCTGAATTTTGAAGGGCCGTGTTTGTTTTTGTTTTTATGAAGAAACATGTATCCAACTTTTAATATGAATGTCATTGCCACTCTTTCTGGAGAAACCTGAAACAACAGCCATCTGTATGCATGTCTGCATGTGTCTTTTGCTTATAAAGATACCTTCCTTGCTTCTTCAGAGTGAAGCTGGGTTTTTCTATTTAAAAAGTAAATTTAGTATGCTAAAATAGGAAATAAAGCTCTGTTATCTGGCATACTTGGAACTATCGCTTTCTCAGATTTGTATTCCTGATGCCTCTGTTGGTCTTCTTTGTCCAGTGGGTCACTGAAGGCCATGGCTTCGGGCATTAACCTTTGCATGAGGCATGTGAGGTTTCAGCTCTGTCATTTAGTACCTGTGTGGGCAAGTGACTTAGTCTATTTTTTAAATCCATTTTCTCATCTGTAAGATGGAGAATGGTAATATTATCTATCCCTTAAGGTAGACTTGAATACAGCAAAATAAATGTAAAGTGCTTGTCATACAATAAGCCTAATGGATCATTATTTTTCTTCTCTCCTAAGACCTATATGTGAACAAAAGAGAGATGTCTCTACTGTTGCTTTGACCATACAGGGTAGGCGTTTACATTTTGGAAGACAGTGGAGTAAAATGTTAAGGGTGTTGGTCATCTTCCAGAACTTGGGCATAGGAGCGTGTCTGTTCATATGGCCATCCTTAACCCCATGCAGTCTGTTACAACCCGAGTCTGTCTTCAGCATTACTGTAGGTTGCCATATCTTACATGTAACTTCACAATTTAAAGGGGGTTGATTGTGTGTGTGTGGTTGAAAAAGTACTGAATACCATGCAAATATAAGGTGAATCACCTGCTCTAGCAACTCAAAAAAAGACAACTTTCAGCAAATCCATTACATAATCCCTCTATTTTAAACCGAATAAATTTGAGGGTATTTGCATTTGTTGGCTACCAAAACCCTAATTTGCATAGTCTGATGATTCTGTGTACTTGCATGAGTTTGTCAGAAAAAGTTACATCAGTGATTTTTGAGGTGGGGTGGAGGTTGATGCATGGTCATAAACAAGGGAGTCTATTTCAATTAACTTTTTACCTTTGCAAACTAAACAGTGTTTTCAGAATACTCTAATTTCTTTACAATTCAAATAGGGCACCTCAGGTTTTCCCTGAAATTTTAGATTCAGGTATTTACTGTTTTTGAGTAATTTTCTAAGCTGTTGTGATTTTTTTTTTTTACTAATTTTTATTCAAAGAAACCTACTGATATGTTTCTTTCTAAAACTATTTCTGACTTAAGAAGAATAGGCTTTGTGAGTAGGCAGAGCCATGGGGGCTGTAGAGTAATACAGTTGACCCTTGAACAACATGGATTTGAACTGCACAGGTTCACTTATACACAGATTTTTTTCAATAAATTGGAAATATTTTTGGAGCTTTGTGACAACTTGAAAAAAACTTCCAAACTGCATATCCTAGAAATATTGGAAAAAAATTAAGAAAAAGACATCTCAGGAATGCATGAAATATATACAGATACTAGTCTATTTTATCATTTACTACCATACAATATACACACTTATTATATGTTAAAAGTTATCGAAACCTCACAGACCATATATTGCACCATTGGCAGCAGAGAGAAATGTAAACAAAGACATTTTAAATCATAACTGCATAAAATTAACTGTTACGTATAGTATTACTGTAAGAATTTCATAGCCACCTTCTATTGCTATTGAGTTGAGCTCAAGTGTTGCAAGTATCTGCTTAAAGCACGGTACAACACTAACATTCTCCATGTGAGCAATTAATCTCTCCAGTAAGTTGTATGTAACAGTTAAAAGTGATCTCTCACAGTTCTTGGGTATTTTTGATTGTGTTTAGTACAATACCATAGACCTTGAATTACACCACAGGACCCACATAAAGTGCCACTCACTAGTTCTCAGAAGCAGAGACAAATCATGACATCACCCAAAAAGCTGAATTTCTTGCTATGTACCACAGATTGAGGTGTGTAGCTGCATTGGCCCACCACGTCAAGATGAATGAATACAGCATAATGACTATTTTTTAAAAGAAAGGAAAGAAAAGGAAATTTGAAAAGCCATTGCTGCAGCTACACCAGCAGGTACAAAAGCCTTGCACTTTTTGCAAAATACCTTTTTATCTTGCATTGAAGATGCAGCTTTTAGAGTGGGTGCAGGATTGTTATAAAAAAGCATACATATTGGCTCCATGATTCAAGAAAAAGCAGTCATTATATTACAACTTAAAGCAAAAAGAAGGTGAAGAAATTAATCACAGCAAAAGATGGTATGATAATTGTAGAAAGAGGTTTGGCTTAACAAATATGAAGATAACCGGAGAAGGAGCTTTTGTCAACCAAGAGGCAGCAGATGAGTTCCTAGATATAGAAAAGAAAATCCTTGAGGAGAAAGACTGTACACCTGAACAGGTTTTTAATGCAGATGAAAGTGCCCTATTCTGTAAAAAAATAAATGCCACAAAGGACCTTTATTAGTACGGAAGAGAAATGAACACCCGAATTTCAGTCAGGAAGGGATAAGCTGACTGCTGTTTTGTACAAATGCAGTCATGTTTATGATCAGGACTGCCCTTATCTATAAAGCTGCCCACCCTTGAGCCTTAAAGGGAGAATACCAGCTGCCAGTCATTTGGTTGTAGCACAAGAAGACATGAATAACAAGAATGCCTTTTCTAGACTGGCCCCATTGATACTTTTTCCCTGAATTCAGGACAGAACTTGCCAGTAAAAGACTGACACTTTAAGTCTTTTTTTTTTTTTTTTTTTGACATTGGATAATGCCCCTGGCCACTGAAAACCCTGTGCATTTAACAGAGTCGCCAAAGTAGTTTACTTGTCTCCAAACACAAGGTCTCTAATCCAGCTTCCAGATCAGGAGGTCATAAGGACCTTTAAGGATTGTTAACACATGGTACTCTATGGAAAGGATTGCCAAGGTTATAGAAGAGAACCCCAATAGAGAAAACATGAAAAGCTGGAAGCATTACACCATTGAAGATGTCATTGTTATAGAAAAAGCCGCAAAAGCCATCAGGCATGAAACAATGAATTCCTGCTAGAAAAAAACTGTCCAGATGTTGTGTATGACTTCACAGGATTTACCATAGAGCCAATCGAGAAAATCATGAAAGAGATTGTGGATGTGGCAAAAAAATAAAGTAAAGGTAAACGGTGAAGGATTTTAAGATCAAATCTTGGGGAAATTCCAGAGCTAATAGACAACACACCAGAGGAATGAACAGAGATGACTTGATGGAGATGAGTTCTTCTGAACCAGTTCCAGATGAGGAGGAAGACATAGAAGAAGTAGTGCCAGAAAACAGCTAACGTTGAACAGTCTGGCAGAAGAGTTCCGATTATTCAAGACCGCTTCTGATTTTCTTTTTATGACATGAATTCTTCTATGATACAGGCACTGAAACAACAGTGGAAGAATGACTAGTACCACATAGAAACATTTTTAAAGAAATGAAAAAAGCAGAAAATGGCAGACAGAAATTATGATGTGTTTTTGGAAGGTTATACCAAGTGTGCCTGCCTCTTTTTCTATCACCACTACCTCTTGAGCCTCTGCTATCCCTGAAACAGCAAGACCAACCTCTTCACTTCTTCCTGCTCCTCCTCAACCTACTCAATGTAAAGATGACAAGGATGAAGACTTTAAGATGATTCACTTGCACTTAATGAACAGTAAATAGATTTTCTCTTCCTCTTGATATTTTCTCTTAATTTATTATAAGCATGCAATATAAAATACATATAACATACAAAATGCGTTAACTTACTGGTAATGCATCTGGTCAACAGGCTATTAATAAAGTTTTGGGGGAGTCAAAGTTATACATGGATTTTTGACTTTATGGGGCAGGAAGGGGTTGGCCCTGCAGCCCCTGCATTATTCAAAGGTCAGCTGTATTCAGGGTGCTCCTCCACTATCCTTGTGTTTAGGTGCGGGTCTTCTTTTCATATCTGACTTTAATAACTAAATGATTGCCATGTTTGACATGGGATGAGTTCAGTAGCTATAATAATTTTCCATGCCATCAGTAATACGTCTTCTCATGTGCCTTTCACGAGCTTAGATTGTTCTCCTTGCCTCTGAAATGACTTTGGAGTAGGTCAAACTGTTTAATTTGGTTAGAGAGTTCTGAGAATGATATATCTTCCATTATAGTTTACAAACTATAATAGAAACTATTTGCTGTCTGGAGTTTACAAATTGCAGTAAAAAGTATTTGCTGTCCTGAGTTCTCTAGACTATCAATATGCCTCCTTTAATACCATACTTTCTAGTGTTTCAGAAATGCCTTGACCATCAACTTAAAGTTTTCCCTTTGCTACCAGACTTGACTTTCCTCAAAAAATCTACCACGTCACCATTTTCTGAGCTCTAGTGTGTCATCCTGTATATACATAGAACTACCCTTAAGCTCCTAACAAATCTCTTTTTCTCTCTAGAACTAAATAAAAACCGAAGAAGGCTTTTTGAATCGCCAAACGCACGCACCTCTTTCCTGGAAGGTGGAGCAAGTGGAAGGCTACCCCGTCAGTATCACTCAGACGTTGCTAGTGTCAGTGGCCGCTGGTAGCAGTGCCCTCTCGGCACATGCCAGCCAACTAACTATAAAGGTGGACACAGGAGATTTGTGAACAGCCTTCACAGCACACCGTCCTCAGCACTCTGGGTGTCTGGTATCAGGACCAAAGCATCTTATTCGCACCTGTACTTTATGGCAAAAAGGAAAAAAAGAGAAGATGTTCTCATGATGTCATACAAAACGCCAAATGTGGATTACTTTAAAATGGCAGTTGGACAGAATTTGCAATATGGGGATAGGGCTTTATTTCCTGTTTTATTACCTATATAACATATGCACTGATTTTTTTTTAATGAAGGATGAATTGACATCTGGGATGCCAGAAAACTTAGAAGTTATTTTGTTTGCTTGTTTCATTTTGGTATTTGGGGATTTTTAAAAAAATAATCAAAGTGGAATTTTCTGGTACTGCTTTAAAATGAGTATTGCGGTCTTTCAGCACTTTACACGTTCTAATTTCTTGTCCTGTGGAAATTCTCACTGTCTCCATCTCTCTCTCCCATTTTCGTGTCACCAAATATGTTGGTACAGATCAGATTTAGTCACATTTTTCTGACTACATCAAACTTTCATTTGAAATGGTACTGGATCTTAGTTTCTGTGCAGAGTACTCCATGGCTTTGGGAAATGTAAGTGAGTTCACTTGATTCTGGACCAATTCTGTTTCATGTATGTTAGCATCCTAGAAACACTTAGCAATGGACCTAGTTCATGGTAATAGGTGCAAAGAAAGACCAAATGGACTTTGCAGTATTAACCCTTTGCAGTCGTCATATTTAGCTGCTGCCTGTAATGCTAAAATGATTTTAATGGTTGTCTGGAGGCAAGGGGCTGTTTTTTAGTATATTGCCACTAAAGGACATTTATTTATATCAAACTTTTATTTTTAGATATTATAAGCATACAGTACATAATTGATGAAATTGATATTTACTAGAGATTTATGGTAGAGAGTGGATGACATTCAATAACTGGAGCCCTAGATTGTCACTTTATTTAAAAAGACAAAATCATCTGACAAGACAGCACTGTTGCCATTATGAGGAGAAACAGATTACAATCCTTATGTACATGTTAGCTATGTTCCATATGGCCACAGGACTCTAAAACCCTGTCTGTCTGCTTGAAGTAGACTTATGTTTGTTGAGAATGAACAGGCTTATTTGAGTCTCCAGGGTGGCAGTTTATAAAGGTAAGTAAGTTCTGAAGGAAAAAGATGTTTAAGTGGCTAGATTCATTATTACAATGTTATACTGTGAAAGTCCAAGAAATCAGGCAACATTGTTTCCTGGGTCTTTTCAGAGACCTTAACGGATTTATGAAGTGTTTTTAATCCATGAAGAAAATCACTAAAGTGCCTTTCTTTCTTCAAAGCAATATTATTTCCAAGTATATTAATTTGTTAGAAAACTTTCCCATGGGAAATGTTAAGTTACCTGTACTGTAAAGAGTTATTTATGTTCAGTAGTCAAGATTTTCTACATGGACATAAACCACTCTCATGTGCTCTCAGTAGAAGGCATTAGATAAGCATATACAAGAGTTGGGTTCTTTTATACAAACATGGGATTAGAAATACTTGGCTGGCATTTTTTCATTGCTGAATCACACCATTAAAGAACAAGAACTGAAGAGGCATTTTGTACACAGAAAAAAATTTCCCTTTAAAAAATGGTATTGGCTACTTTGAAGGCATAGATAATGGGCATGTCATAAAACTATCAGTTATAACTGGCACTGAGGGCCTGCCGTTTTTAAACTAAACTAAGCCTTATCTGCTTAAGGATGTTGAACAAAATCACTCCCTTTAGTCATCCTGTGCATATGCGTACAAATGGTCTTGTGGATCATGTGACGAACATCCATCTTATTTGATTGTATTAATGCATCATGATAAACATTTAGTACAGGTTAATTCCAGATTTGTGTCCTGTTCAACAACTCAGGACTCTAAATGTTGTTAGGTCTTTATTAAGACCTTCCCAGATAATAATCATTTGGAGCTCTTTTCCCAGCTCTCTACCATGCATTTGCAACAGGAGGAAGATGGAATGAATATGCAGTATTAAGTTGATGTAGCTTTTATGAACAGTGCTTTGATATGCCAAAGGGAAAACTGTCCCACTTAAATTAGATTAAATACAGTGGCTAAAAATAAAAACACTGGAAATTATTTCTCTCACTTTCTCTTGATGCAATGAAGGGAATATGACACTACAGTATACAGAGTTGTTATATGATGCACAAAATATTTTGATGATTTGAATAAATGTTAACTTTTAATCTCTGCCTTAATAATGACTGACTGGTTATCTGTAAATATAGAACAGATACAGATTGTATTTTTGTGTGGGTATTTGTCCTTTTAGTGATTTTTTTTTCCCAAAAATAAGAGATGGAATTAACATTGAAAATGGGAATTTTTTTCTAACCAAATCAATTGTTACATGAAAAATAAATTTATATAACCCCTTTGTATTGTTCTTGCTAGATGAAATTGTCTTTTTTTTTAAAGAAAAATCTTTACCACATAAATTCAATGCCTATCTTTGTTTTCTAAGAATTTTTTTTTTTTTTGGCTATTTTTGGCAAAGTTGAAAGACGTTTATGCAGTAGAATTGAATATGCATTCTGTGGCCTCCTGTTTTGCACTGACATTCCTCATTTTCAACCAGAAACTAAAGCATTTTATTTTAGTCAGCGAATCCAGGACCAGTCATCAATCATTGTTTCTTTGGCCACCCATAGGTACATACAAAAGAGTAACATAGATCAGGTTTTATTCTTGTTATTTCTTTCTTTTATAAAGACTCAAGTGTATGACTGCTTTGACAACCCCATCCATCAGCAAAGACTGAAGTGATGCTGGGCTTTTTGATCCAGGTACCCCTTTCAGAGTCTGCCATTGTGTTATCTGTGTGTTTACCACGCCGTGCGTTCAGATGCTCACTGGATTCATGCTCAAACGGAACTGACACTCTTATTCTGAGATTTTGCTAAACCTTAAAGAAAACCTAGCCTCCTCATATTATGCCCCCAGGGATATTTCCACTTGAATTATCTATGCCAGTGGTTCTCAAATATTGTTTCTAGAACAGAAATTCTTTTGGTAGTTGAAATCTTACCTGTGACCTAATATTAAATTATCTATTTACTTATTTGGTTCATTATATACATATTAATGACACGTAAATATTTAGAAAGTATCAGGCCCTGGTCTAGGAACACTAGTGAATGAAACAAAATCCTTTGCCATCCTTGAAACTGAATTCTAAATGGAGAAAGGTGTGGCACTAAAGCGGGAGAGGTTGGAGGATGGAACATCCCCACCCTTCATATGGGCCTCCATGTGTTTAGCACACTCCAAGGGGACTCTAGGGAGCTCTCTAGAAATCCATTTTTAACAAACCTGTTTGTTAAAAGTGGCTGGGCACAGTGGCTCATTCCTGTAATTCCAGCACTTTGGGAGGCTGAGGCAGGCGGATCACATGAGGCCAGGGGTTCAAGACCAGCCTAGCCAACATGGTAAAATCCCATCTCTACTAAAAATACAAGAGTGAGCCAAGTGTGGTGGTGCACACCTGTAATCCCAGCTAGTTGGGAGGCTGAGGCAGTGAGCCAAATCACAATAATTGCACTCTAGCCTGGGAGAAGAGACTGTCAAAAAGAAAAAAATCCTGTTAAAAGTAACTACCATATTGAAACAAGCCTGTGCTTTCAAATGTAAAATATTCCTTCCTCTCATTCTCCCTCCCTCCCTATCTCTAGGTTCCACAGGATTTAAGCACATTCTGAAAAGGATTGTGTGGCCCAAAGTGTTATGTGCCAGTGATTATAGCTACACCCTATGATGATAATGGTAGGGGACCCATCGCTTCTTAGACTTGACTCCAGGTGACTGCAGTCTTTAGAAATCAAGTTTGCCTTAAAAGAACATGATTTTTGTTACCACCAAGAATACTTCGAGAATGCATTAATACTTGGAAGTTAATTTCAAATGTAGACCTCCTGTAAGACACTCAATAGTGGAATTTTAAATAAGAGTCTCCTTAGATTACTGTTTCCAAGGGAACTTCACTCCGTTGGCTATATAAATCCTGGTATATACTGTAAAATTGTCTCAGAATTTATGGCTTACTTCATAATTTTGTGAATTCAAATGTACTAAAGTGCATTTAATTTTGATAATCTGTTTAGTCAATGTATTAAATATTCCAGTCATCACTAGAGGCCATGATTCTCCCCAGGTAAGTCAGCTTCCTTTCTTGTCTTCAAACAGCCTTTTGGATAACTTTCAGTTCATCTGGCTTAGAGGTGAAGAGGTTGGACTTTGTTGTTTGACAGACATACATTTAGATCTTGTCTGTCAACCTTAGGAAAATTTCTGTGTCCTCATCTGTGAAATGGAGATAATATTTACCTCTGAGAATAGTTGAAAGGATAAAGAGAAGCTGCGTGTAAATTTTTCTGCACAGTACAGGGCACAGAATGAACAGTGCATTAATAGCAGTTACTATTATGATTAACAGAATTTTCCTTTCACTGCATGGGCATTTTCTTTGCCCATCAGGGATCTTCACTGTGTTCATCATTCTTGTGTATCAGAAGGAGGAAGCCCATTTCCTGTGCCTGAAGGTCAGAACTATAACCTCCAATCTCAGGGACCCACTGACCAATAAGGTTGAAGTCAGAACATTCTCCTGAAGGTCAGGGTCAGATTTCTGTACCTCTTTGGTTGCTTTTGATTTTATTAAGTCTCTCATTCACAAGAGTATTAAAAACTGGGCTCTTCATATGGGCGGAGAGGGTGAGTAGCCCATTCTAATGGTCATATTTTGTACCTAATGGTCCTATTCCCTGAGAGTTCTCATTACTCTGAATGGTATTCACTCCCTGTTATCCACAAGGTCACCTCCATCCTAGCCCTGGTTGCTCAATTTCTGCCACTTTTATTTCTCTCTGCCTACCAATACCACAGGATCTAATACATGTGTGTATAATAACCTTGGCTTTTCTTTTGAAAGGAGCCATTTGCCTGTATTTGTGCTGCTTCGTTGTTTTCCACTTTAAAAAGTGAACAGAGTTAGATAATATTTGACTGTGACTACAGACATGGCTGGGACACTTCAAAAACACTTCATCAAGGGATTTCACATTTTTGTTGCTTTTTAAAATACTTTGACTCACTCTGAAAGGAGGCAAGTGGAGTTTGAAGTTCCCTTTCTCTAGGGTAAGGCATGAATGTGTTTGGAACAGATTTTGGGAATTGGAGTCTGAATCTGATTTAGGAGGCAGAATTTCAGTGTGGGAACCAGAACCTTTAGGAAAAAATTACAGTAAATGAAATGTTTCAACTTCATAATAGGATGTTTGGATGAGTTACAAGAGGAAAAAAGAGTAGTTCAATAATTGGGTGTGTGTGGCCCTTTTTTTCCAGGCCAGAGAAAACAAATGATTGAACTCACTGTCTTCAGAGTGCTTAATCCCTAATAGAGAGGCTGTGGGAATTCGACATTAAAAGACTTTAGCAAAACAGCTAGAAAACAATTTATGTTCAAAATTTTCACCCAGGCACAACTGACTCTGTCCAAATTGCTGATACAATTTGATTCAAAGTTGCTATGGATAAAACTTTCCAGTTTTGTAAATTTGGTGATGTGGGTGGGTGACATTTCCTTATTTTTTCCCCCTGGCTGATAGAATCATAGACTGATATAACAACCAGACTTGGAGTGGTGGCTCACGCCTGTAATCTTGGCACTTGGGAGGCTAAGGCAGGAGGATCGCTAGGAGTTCAAGACTAGCCTGGGCAACGTAGGGAGACCTCACCTCTATTTAAAAAAAAAAATCAGCCAGACAGGTGGTGCATGCCTATAGACCCAGCTACTGTGGAGGCTGAGGTGGGAGGATCACTTGTTCCCAGAATGCCAAGACTGCAGTGAGCTGTGTTTATGCCACTGCACTCTGGCCTGGGTGACAGAGCAAAACCTTGTCTCAGAAAACAGCCAAATGAAGTTGCGCTAGGTAAATTCTTTCTATGGATTGAAAACTTCATAAAGAAAAGTTATGCTACCTTCTGTTTCATGAATCTGAGTTAAATTCCTAAATGAGGAGGCAAAATGCATCTTGTTCCTTTCTTTACACATTTAAAAGCTTTTTAAACACACCTAAAACTACCTTAAATATTTTTTTATGGTAAAAATGTGAGGACAGGGAGGCTTTAAGGAAAGTTACAGCTTTGCCTGTCATATAATTTTTTGAGATGGGGTCTTGCCCTGTTGCCCAGGTTGGAGTGCAAAGGCATGATCTCTGCTCACTGCAACTTCTGACTCCTGGGTTCAAACGATTCTCCTGCTTCAGCCTCCCAAGTAGCTGAGACTATAGGCGCCCACCACCATGCGCAGCTAATTTTTGTATTTTTAGTGGAAACGGGGTTTCACTATGTTGGCCAGGCTGGTCTTGAACTTGTGGTCCACCTGCCTCAGCCTCCCAAAGTACTGGGATTACAGGCATGAGCCACTGTGCCCAGCCTAATTTTATATTAAACACTCCTAGTATAATGAGATCTTTAAAGAACTGACTTGTATAAAAAATATCAAAGAACATAGAATCGAGTTAGAAAAGGTATCATGGGAATGATAATGACAGTATTTGGCCTCTTTGTGTCATCATAAGCATAGTATAAATGCAAACTTGTTGGAATATCCATATGATAGGAAATGTAAATATGAAAAATGGATTCATTACTTACATTCATTAGTCACAATATTTTTTCAGCCAATGATAAATTAACAAGGAGAAGCCAGTTAAAGAAATAATTCAAAACGAAAACATTGATTTTGAGCCTTTTAATTAAATTTTAATTAAAATTTTAAAATTTTTAGTTGCCTAATTATATGTCCTCTCCATACAGTATTTCTGCATGAAGGATTCTTTACGTCTGCCAGTTAGCAACAATTAAATTTAGGTGGTGCAAATACAGGTGTTCAATATATGAGCATTTCTCAAACCATATGTGCTGAAAAGCCAGTTTTTGTTTTTCAACTTATTGCAGACTAATATTTGTAAAATATGGTAAAAATGTGATTGTAACAAATTACTATGAAATTTTTTAATGCTTACTCTTTCTCTACCATAGACCAGGAATAATTGCTTCTTGGATATATATACTTTCATATCCATACACCTGTCCATAGACCACTTCTAGGAGTACTGAATTATAAATCTTTCATAGAAGAAACTTCAAGAATGTATTCAAAAATATATCTATGGAATTATCAAGTGCCATTGCATGTTTTATCAGCTGTGCCAGCATAGAGAACTTGGATGTGCTTTCAAGTATCTTTAAGACACAGTGAGTTGTGTAAATTTGACTGGAGACCAGTCAAAATGTGCCTCCCATGTGTGCTCAATGTCAATGTGCTTTTGATTTCTGGTTTTTGGCCAACCCCATGGCTGCTACTGCAGCTCCCTGTGTGTTTAATGTATCA